TCCACATAGACTAACTTCTGTTAGAAAGCAACAGTTCAGATCATTTTACTTGTTACACAAAATGGAATAGAAACTAGTTAAAAACCCCTCATATTTCTCTAGGTATGAAAAAAGCCTCAAAACAGACTGAACACACCACCTAGGCAATTTCTCTCTGCCACAGCTACTGACCCTGGGGAAAGTGACAATTTTTTTCTTAAACTGTATCAGAAGATAACAACTGCATGTTCAAACAGTTTGGCGGTCATTGAGAAAGCATTTGAAAAATCACCAGTGTAAGTTTCACTGAAAAAAAGATTGTCAAACTTCACCCCTCAAATGCCAGTGCAGACATCCTAGCTAAAAATGCAGGTGCTGCAGTGGTATATAATGGGAGTTTTTTCCTATATATACACACATATACAGTGTTTATATATATATCACGTTTTGATATACACATACAAAGGATTTCATTGCCTGCAAGGGCAACAATGCTGCAAAGAAAATGATCCTCCTTTCACAGGTTACACTACTGAGGACAAAACTACACCTTTAAAGATCCACCAAATAAAGAAATAAAAGCCAAGCAAATTCTCCAAACTGATAGAGAAGACTGAGCATGTCAAGCCATGAGAGAGTGCCACCAAATAAAAGGCAGAGGGAGACAAGTCTGTGCTTAAGGAGAAACCAGCACTTCTACTTAACACAAACTTGAGTTTCAACACAGAGAGCCAAGACTCATTTCTCACCTGTCCCACAAGGAATGCAGTGTGTGTGTAGATGTGTGGAGTGTTACTGTATAAATTTAATCCCATGAAAATCAAATGAGAATAGTTTAAGATTATGCAGTTGATGATTGCTAGTAGTTGAATACCTTCAACTCATTCCTAAATGCTCACTACATATAAGCAAGACAGAGCTTTAAAGATTTTCATATTCTAGTAAAAACTAAAAAAAATTTATTTATCACATTTCCAATGGAAAAGAGAAAGTAACAGATTCCACCTTACATCAGTAATAAACCTACTTTCACTTCCAGGCTTCTCTCAAAGCATGCAATTTTTAGACACAAGACTTTAAAGCTTACTTAAAGGAATCTAGGGATAGCTGATCATATTATACTAATCATCTCAGATGGCTGCTGTCTCCAGAGGGGGTCAGTTTTCAGAGTAGTTTTAACAATGTTCATATCTTCTTCAATAGATCTGTGTTATTTAACATATGTTAGAAAGGCTGTTGCTGCTACATTACCTTTGTTCACAGATGTAATGTTTCAGCACATACCAAGTAATACATGAATATTAATACTTGCAATTAAATCATTACTCAGATTCTCCAGAGTTGATTTTGTTTCAAGTATGCTACAATCCATACATTTCCTACCTATCTTGAAGCAAATAGAGGTGGGGGTTTTTTATTGTTATTTTAAAACAAAACCCGTTCCTCACCTTAGGTGGCCTAAATATTTGAGTCAGATTTACAGATGCAAAACTTGCATGCTTCTCCAGATACTAAGGTTAATCCACTTAAGCAGCACTCTCAATACTCGAGCTTTCACAAATTCGTGGTGACTCCAACGTGCAACACACTGCATAAAGGTGTAGCCTCTGCCTCAGTAAGTTTCAGTAAAAAAACAAAGTCATAAAAAAGCACAGATAACTGAATGACATTTCTTCAAACAAAAAAGAAAATTTCCTTAGATCTCAGTGTTCTATGTGATTTTGGTGAATGCAACACCAAATACCAGCAACTGGTCTTTGTCTGCATCTTTCTGCATCCACACAATAAGTACAAAATTTGTATTACTTATATTAAAACAACATAAGAATTCACTTCATAAGAAGTCACATCAAGGTCTTTATTTCTATTGGATCAGTTGCTGTGTGAAGTGTTCTTGGATGCAGAGTGTTGAGGACATCTCTACATAATGTGTTCTAAAAACATTAATTACAGAACGGAAGCATAAATGGGAGGATAAGGAATGCTGCCCAATTCAACACTATATCAAGCACATGGAAAAAACCTGACAAGTGTGCAAACAGTTCAAATACCTCACAAGTTGGTTAGAGGAATAACTTCCCTATCAACATACCTTTAGTGTTACTGAAGGACAAACTTGCAGGCAAGACCCGTAAAAATGTATGTTCATTCTACTAATGTCAAAACCAATGGTAGTCTTTAGTTTGTTGAAATGTACCCAAGAAGTATTAGCCACAGACTGACACTCACACCACATAAATCTAACATTCTCCATAATTTCCTTCCCTACAGTGCTAGAGATTACAGCAATTAAAAGACTATGTTTACAAATCCTATATTTTCAGTGATTTTTAACGTTCTTATGAATGTAGATCATTTCTAGAGTTGTGTTAGGAAGACTTAAATCTCGACAGCATTTTGTTGCTTTTCTTCGCAATGAATTAATTTTAGATTTGGAAACATCATCTGCCAGGCATTTAAAAACTAAATAGGATACAGGGGTTAATGGCTTTAGCAGTGCCATTTTAACCCAGTCTTCTGCATACCATTGAAAATAACGAATTTAACCTCTGGGGGAAGAAAATAAAATCTACAGATTTAACATTGAATTAACATCAGCTTTTATTACTGGGAATGCTATTGGGTGATTTTTATTACTTGAAATGCCTTGTCCAGTAAAAACTCAAATGGATTGCTTTCCATACTTCTCCCTATCTAAATGTTAAAACATGTATTTCTTACTTTTACAGCATTAAGAATATAAAATCAACACAATTTTACCTTTAAAACTGTTTACATTCTATACACACCAAAGACTATACGTTTTTTGGCATCTCAAATGTTTCTGCTGGGAACACACAACATATCAGTCATTCTCATTCAGCAGTACACACACCAAAGTTTTCAAAAATTATCAGCAGCACAACTGTATATTAAGAAAAACTCCACACCAATGGTTTGCCCACATCACTTGGCAATGTCCCTTTAATATTAATACACAGAGAAGTAAATTTTTTTCATAAATTTGTTCAAGTATGTGGAACATGTAAAATGCATAAGAATCAATATGGACTTCATTAATGTTATATTTATTTATTTTCCAGCTTCATACAAACTGGATGTAGAAGCATAAACATAGTACATTTCTACCATTTTCAACAAAAATATAACCAATATGTACAATTATTGTATTAAAAATACAAAAGGATACAGACTCCACCAATGTCTTTCTAAAAGACATACAGGTACAAGTAGTATCAAAAGTATGAGGAAATCACCAGTTAATTGTACATTCTGCACTTGACATCACAGAGCGAACTGAGATTAGCAGTCCTATGGTCTACAATTACTTAATGCTTATATAACATTTGTGCAACTTGTGATAGAGCTAAGATTTTGTATTTCTATATGCACATGAGGTCCATAGCCTTCAGAATAAAACTGGCAAATAATGCATATAACAGGTAAAATTACAGATGCATAATTGACAATGTGATATATAAGCAAATAGACAAAAGCTATGATTACAGGAGAGAATTAAATAAAGCACTGACATTTGTTTGATACAGTGAAAAAACACTGCAATTTGATCTTTAAAAGTTGAAGCTATTTACGTGTATCTACTGATCAATATGATCAGCTGAGTTCAATGGAAAAAAAAAAAATCCAAGACCAGCAGTTCCTCACATTTGAGTACTACTCGGATTGGCAGCCTTCACTTCTCCGGAGTCTGTGCAAAAACAACACAAAAATAGAGGGGAGGGTCATTTCAGTCATTCTAGGGTTAATAGCAGCTGTGAGCAAGTGGTTGCTACACATTGGCCTTCTCTATACATGCAGTGTTCCATGAAGCCATTAACACTTGTGACTATTTCTGCATTGCAAAGGCTGGCAAATCTAATCATGTTATTTTTTTTACTTAAAGGCTCGTTTATCCCCTAATGTCAAAGTCAATAGATGGAGGTTATTATATTAGTGTTAACAGCTAACACGAGCTGTGACATCCCAACTTGGCTTCACTGCAATGTTATCCAGTTAATTTTTATTTTAATATAAACTACTATATAGCAAAAAAAAAAAAAAGGACATAACTTAAAGGTGGGGTTGCCATCTGTCTTATTAGAACGGGACACTTTTTTAGTATGCCATCCTGTATTCCACAAGGCACAGGTATGAGACACACAGTGTCCTCTTCCATCATCGACCAGTTGCAAGCACTGTGTTTCTGCATTTACACCAGACCCGGATGAGAATGGCATTAGCACTAACATTTACAAACTTGTGAAGATTCCAGGGTGGGGCACATTAAGAGCGAAGCTAGATGGTCAAGGAAAGGCTGCATACCATAGCCTCTGCCTTCCCTTCTGCCCTGCTCAGCCACATGATAGCAATATTCTCTCCAGGAGTTCAGGCTGGCAACCCTACTTAGAGGTGTGAAATAATACTGTAATTACTATGCAGATGCAGTATTTGATCTTCCAAATGCAAACATACAAAATTGTAACAAAGGCATTGTAAACAAGCAAATAAGCACTGCCTCCTTGAAGGATCTCAAAGCATTTTTCTCTTCATAGGTTAAAGGCCAAATGTAATTTGACAACTAACTTATCTCATTATCCCAATGAGACTAAGTGTTAGGATTGTGATTAAAATCTAAAAGGAAGATTTAAAAAAAAACCCTTCCAGGCATTGGGAAGTGCAGCCAGAGTTAATCATCCTGATGTGATGATCTTGGAATTTGGAATGATACTGTGTGATGTGGCAGACAGCGACAGTGGTAGCTTGGAGATTGCTGCACTGTGCATTTCAAGCAACACAGTTTGAAAAGTGCCAGGGCGATTTCTTCACAGTATTTCACATGCAAGGGAAGAGGGGACAGAAGGGGGAGGGGCAGAGGAAGAAGCCCCATGCTGCTTTAAGGCAGGGAAGGAGGCAAATAGGTCCACCATCCTTTAATCGTAGTTCCAAGGCTCCTATTCTAGGGACGTCTTCTTGTGCTCTCCTTTAAGGTGGCTCACTCTGGATCCAGAAAAGTCCAAATCTTAGACAGCAGAGACTTGTTCATCTTCTGCAAATACAATAGGATAAGGGAAAAATACAATTTAGTTCATATAGAACAAGACTGCTACTGAATGAAACAAACCTGTGTATACAACAAGTACTGTGTACTGTGCTCACGTGTTTTCCATTTCATTCTATTAGGTATATACTTTAAAACGATCTAAATTTCAGTGCATTTCAGATCTCATGGGAAGAACTTCTTTGTAATTTTGCTCTTGAAGAAAATAAGACAATTGCCTAACTGAGCTAGGTGCAGTTCCTCAGCCCAAGGAACACAACAGCTACTCCTAGATGGCCAGAAGCTTCAGAAAGGCATCTTATATTTTTCCCTGAATACACCTTCAATTTAGTCATCATTGGTAGAAACAATTAACATTCTCTGTCACGGTAACTCTTAAAGTTTGAGGCAATTCAGTTAAGGCAGACTTAATTTTTTTAATCTCATCATATTTAACTGCAGAGTTCTTCCTGCACATAAAACCTTAGCAACTAAGCAGTTAGAGGGAGAAGGGGAATGTTAGTCTTTCTATCATTAGGCAAAACAAAGAGTTCGAATGTGTGATTTGGGCACCATCCTGCCTAAATATTGAGCACCTAGGCCTAGAGCTTCAATCCAGCCACACCTACACTCCACAGAAAAGCATTATAGTTGAGTTAAAGCACAAAGATGCAGACACAATTGGGTCAGCGAGAAAGCAAGACAGCAGTGGGCTCATTATGTGAAACAGCTGGAGTGGAAAATCCAGTGTCCACAGCATAAGAGTTTCAGGTAGAATGTGAGTGACTGTCCAAATAAACCTGATCAATGACGCTCTGTGGGGTGGATGGGCAGGTATTCTATAGACCGGGCTACTTTTTGATCATTAAATACATGGTTAGTGCAAAAAAATTAGGGGAGGTACATGGTGAACACAGGCACCTCCAGAGAAGTTGTCTAAGCCAACTACTTGGCTGTCTAAGACTCACATGGACCTACGTTCCAAATTTTAAACCATATTTAGGATGAACTGAATTCCTTCCCTTACAAAAAGTCAACAAATAGCAAGTTTTGAAAATGAAATAGAGTTCAAATTATGGCAAGAATTTCTATGGCAGAATACATTTGTGTAATTTGCTTTGTGTCTGTGAAAGCATTGACCAGTTTTGCATGCAGCCCACTCAAAATCTACCAATTAGAAATTTACCATCTTCCTCTGTGGAAAACCCTTGAGACGGATAGTGAGCAAGACGTGGATCTGACTCATTTGGTTTATGCCACTGAGGTTTGTTCGCGGGCCTGCTGGTTGAATGGCCGTGAGACTGCTGCTGTGGAGTTGATGTTCCGTGAGTCTCACATGTCCGTGCCACCATTCTAGACCTCTGAAGTGCTATGTTGTAATCTGGAGGCTTTCTGGTTGGATGGGAGCCACCTTCTCCGAACTCAGCAATAGGTATTCCTACATAACCAGGCGGAGTTGGAGGTGGTTCCCGATATCGACCTTCTTTTCGTGCTGCAGGGAAAACAACAGATGATTTTAAGAGATTGGAAAAGAAACATTGCTGAAAGGAAAACAGACAGTTATTAAGTAAACATCAACCAACTCAACAGCCCAGGAAGAAATAATCTGAAGGACAAAAGTTAACCATCATATGCTATGAGTATATGAGCTTGCGAAAAATATATCAATCAAGAAAGTACAGAATATACAACAAACACAGGATGCAGCTATTCTTCCAGTAGTGAAGCATTAGTCTAACAAAATTCATCAAATTACATGGGGAATTTGTTCAAACTTCACAACTGAAGCTGTTCCATCAATTGTATAGAATAAAACGTACAGTGATCAAAGTAACGTGGAACACACAAGAGTCTACAGAAGCAGCAAACAATTCCAAAAGGTAAGGAAGTGGGCTTCATCTCCATATATTTTGAATGCACAACTGTCCACTGCCCCATGGTTGTATTCTCTGCAAAACTGAAAGTATGCCCATAAGAGCAATGATTGAATATGATTTTATATAGGAGATCAAGAGACCACCACCTAGGTTGTGGATCTCACTGAGACGTAACTGTTTACCTGAACAAGACTTAACTCTGGGCATACTGAGAAGCTCTCTCTTGGAGAGAACTTTGAGGGAGAAAACAGCAGTTAAGAATTCTAAGCATCTGCAGAGACACACAACAGATAGGTATGTATGTTGTTATGTAGTTAGAAAAGTCACTTGCGTCTTTGATACTGAACACTTGTTGAGGATCTAGCCCTTTAACACATGACCACTTCACTGACAAACCTTACAAATAAAGCAGGGAAAACCACTGACACAGACAATTTAGTCTCCACAGCTTGTCATACACTGTCTATTCTTGCACAAGTGGTGATGACGACAACACCACCCTGCACTAGGCAGCATGATTTGAATGAAAGGGCAGTACAAGCTCAAAATGGACCGGTGCTATTCAGATACAAGTTTTTATAGACTAAAAATAAATCCTTGGTATTATAACCAAACGAAATAGTTTCCAATAGATTCTAAGTATTTTTCTTGGACAAACTGTTTTAACTAAGCAAAGCAGCATGAAGAGGTTTCTGAGAAATTTTATTCAAATATTTCTGAAAAGGAGAAGAAATTCTGTAGAAAAATCCTCTTGAAATACTGCAAGAGATCAATGTCTATTCAGTGCAGAAGTACTACGCAAAACAGTGGGTTCTGCTGGACAGTGATACATAGAGTTATATTTGCAGGATAATTAGTTAATAGTAGTGAATTTCGTGGAAGTGTGTTGGTTTGAATTTTCAGGTCTCTTTCATGTTCTTTCAAGTCCCTAAAAACATAGTGGCAACCACTGCCTTGAGAGGCATATTTGGAAGTACACTTGTTACACATTCTGGAGGAAAGCAAGCATATCAAAGAAAAAAATTAGAGAGGGGCATGAATCTGAACCATGAACCTCAAGTCCTGAACTGAACAGGTTCCTCCTCTTCATAGGCCAGGGATTCAGATCTGCACCCAAGCTTTGAAGCAATGCACCACTGCTAAGCAATATACTTGAGCAGAAAATGGAAAAGTCATTTTATCACAGTGGTCTCAGCATGACCTCAATCTGGCAGACTTTCAGCTGTGTCAGCAAAAAATGGCTCTTAGATAGTTCTTCATATTAACCTGACAAAAGGCAAAGTGAAGGGGAATGAAAGGAAGAAAAGTGGCAAAAATGCAGAGGTTTTGGATGGCCTAAAAATTGGGATGCACAGAAGGAACAGTACGAGAAAAATGTTAAGTTCTGCCAAAGACACCTTCATACTAATTTACAGATTATACGATCTTTCTATTTTTGAATGCATATAAATATATTTCACCTCTAGCTTCTTAGAAACCTCCTCAGTTTCAGCAGGCCAAAGAAATATTTTACAGTTGGTATTTAAGCACAAAGTGATCCCATTTTCAGAAGTAAAGAATATTCACAATTATCAGACAAGTCATAGAGGTATAAAGTAAAACACTTCTACAAAAATCAGGTCACATTTATTAAGACTTCTAAATATAGGATATGGAGCCTTACTGTGATGAGAAATTCACATTTCAGAACAGACATCTAAATACATCAACCTCTCAAAACACTGTCCAGCAGCTGAGCTAGTTTTTTGATGTATGGTAGGCTCTCTAGAGACACAAAGGCACTGCCAGAACTGAGAATCAACAATAAATGCTATTTTCCCTTGCATGGTTAAAGGGAAAAATTTAAGAGAGACTGCAAAATATTCAGTTTTGCTTTAAAACCTAAAAAAATAAAAAATAAAATAAAAAAATCAAACTAGACAAAAGAAATGCCGTTTTAGAACAATACAAAAACCTATAAGCAAATGAATTAAAATACTTCATGGTAAACAAAACTTAACTTACCAACATGCCCCTTTGAACTACTTGATGACATTGCTGTATGAGTGGGCACAGGAGTCGGTTTAGTCTCCTCTGCTGGTACAGATGTTATGCTAATGGTTTCAGCTTCAGTTGAAACATCCTTCCCACCCCTCCGCTTTATGGTACCTGTATCACCTTCTGAGTCCTCTCCCCAGTATCCCGTTGAGGATGCCCAGCTTGCTCTGGACTGTGCTTGATCAAGGCCCTCCCTGCCTTGACTTTGCCTGCCATATTTTGTGCCATGATCGGGGAACATCAGCTGGTCCATATGGCTGCCTGAGGCCCACAGTCCTGCCCCATCGCCTGAACTATCAAAATGAGCATGTCCAAAAGGCAGAGTCTCCCAGCTCCTCTGGTGCTGTATTGTTTGTATGTTATCATGAGAACCACTCGAACAAGAAGTCCAGCTACCACGGCCACTGTCAGCTGCATCAAGCGAAGCTCTGTCCCCCTGATCCTGTGACAGTTCTTCTGTACTAGGAGAAGAAAGCACAGTTGCTCCAGCATACAGGCCTCTGGTCTCTGAGAGTGGTGCATATGAGCTAGATGCACAGTGATGATGGGGAAAAAAAATAAAATCCAGTGTTGGAATTGGAAATCATGTACAAGACACACAATTCAACAATCAAGAGAAAAACAAACATATTTGGGGGTTGGACTAGATGACCTTTATAACATTTAAAAGGTCCCTTTCCACCAAAAACATTCTATGATTCTATGATTGAAGGTTTGATGCGCTTTATAGTATCTTTTGCTTGCAATAATGACTAATTCAATTTTGAGAACAGGACACTTTGCTTTCAAGCTCATCCTCAATAAAGGAAAAACAACAAAAACCTGATAAAACTTTACACTTCAGAGAGTTATTTCAAAAGATAAAATCTTAACTTTGCAGCAGCCTTTTAAGACAGGCAAACCACACTGACACACATAAAGGTGAACAGATTGATAGCCAGGGTTATCCTACTGCTTTTCCAGTCATGCAAAGCAAAGGTCCAAAGGCAGAGTTTTAGAAGGAAGTGGTTGATATTCAGATTTAGGTTTCACTTTTCAGATTATTTTTTTTTTGCCAAGGAAACTCTGAAAGCTCAATTTTCAACATTTCCTGCAAATGGAAATGTATTTCAACCTTAATTTTGGAAACATGTGCTACTTCCTAGAGCAAACATGTTCTCTGTAGCCCCTCAGCAATTAAGTGAGCCTGACACTATCACTTACATAGCAGCAGAGAAAACCGACAAAGTGTCACTTTTGCTTAGCAGCTATCCAGGCTCCTGGGATTTGTTCTTCCAGGGCAGCTTGCTATGCAGACTGAAATCCTGTTCTTCCAAATATTAAGACATCTGATTAAAGAGTTTGCATAGCCTGGGATTCCCAGAGCTGAAGTACATCAGTTTTGGAACAGGTCTGCTATTTGCAGACACTGCAGGATTAAAACCCTTGAAACTATTCAGAGGACTGAAGCATCCGAATAACAGCTCAAAAAAAAAAAAGTAAGTGGAGACAATAGGAGCCAGAGCTCCAATTACTTTCACACCAAGGCTCACTACTAGAGATTTAGAGAACTCCTCACAGCACTAGCTTCCCCACCATTACAGAAGTTAATTACCTAGAAAACCAGCTGCATAATGTGAATTTTAGCTTCCAATTATTGTTGAATAGAAGAGATATTTGGGGCAAAATATTTTGGAGTTAGACAAATATGCACTTTTCCATGAAACAGACTGGAAAATCACTAGCTATTTCTGTTCTCAGTTTGATCACTGAATAATTGTGCGAATAATATTTCATCTAATTCAGTTAATTCCCCACGTAGGAAGCAGGCTAGGATACTAGTCTGCCACAAAGAGGATAATCTACAGTATCACTGAAATGCTCAGATGGTAAGTCTTCTGAGGTAAACTCTTACTGCTGTAGACCTCATCATGCACTCAGGAGTGCAAAACCTTTTCCTGTCAGAAATTGAGCATTATCACAATACGCAGCATTGAAAGAGTCATTTTTAAGAGCGGGGGAGAAAAAAATACTTGAGAGATACAGAGAAAGTTACATGGACAAATACACATGCCACATACACACTATATGAAAGTATAATGTAAGCAAGCACAAATAAAATTCCTACCCTAAGCTGTATTGATCTGGTTCAATCATGATTCTTCTATCAATCCTTCCCACACCAAGATTTGTCTCCACGATGCTGACAGAATGCCTCTGTCTCCTCTCGTCATGCAGGGAGACTGGCATAGAGTCAAAAGATGAATTGCTGACAATACTAGATCTAGAAGAAATTTCACTGTGACCAGAATCTGAAAAGTTATCCACCGTGCTGCTAGGAGCCAAAGTATAGCCTGCAAAGGGAACATCATGTTAATAGGACTCTCCAAGACACCTGCTCAGTTATTGTCAGGCAGTTGGCCATACTGCTACCATAGTAGAGCAAAGCTACGATTACATTTACACAGCATTACAAAAGACAAAGATACACAGCAAAACTGCGTAACACTGTGTATTTGGTCTCTTAATCAGAGGTCTAAGATTGTGGGAACACACACTACTCATTTACAAACCAACTGCCCTCCTACCTCAAATTCTTTTCAAATTCATCATCATACTCATATCCTCACATTATGAAATCTTACTTCACAACAAACTGCCTATGCATAAACACTGTCTCCAAGACTGGAATGAAAGAGATGTTCAGGATGAGTCTACTGCTTAAAGTACTCCAAGAGACCTTCCCATACAACTTTTCTGTTTGCAAAGCTACGCTTCACAGATGAACAGCAGATACAACATGAAGCCCAGATGTCTGGGCTGACTGCTTACTACATATCTTGGCTGAGAGAGGGCCAGGTTTTCAAGCTTTCTTTGTTATACCAAATAGTATATATTACCAGAATTATAATGAAACTTGGAGGCAGCATTGACACAGCCAGACTGAGATAAAATCTGCATACCATGTCACAGAAGTAAATTCAGTTTTTGCTTTAGTATTAAACAAAGTTGTGCTGAATGTTCTTGCCAGCTAAGTTAAAGATCATTAAACAACGTAAATCCACAAGTAACTGCCGTTTTCATTTTTTGCTTTCAGTCTACACATAAGTGTCAAAATTACTTCAACCGATCTATCCCAATTCACTTGCTGAGAACATGAAATTAATGTTGTCATTTTTGTCTGAAAGAATCTACCATTAGCTTCATGTCACCATCAAACCAAGGCTTTTTTTTAAAAATCATGTTTGATTTGTTTTTTGCAAAAATAAAGTGCTTTTCCCACTATGAGTCAAGTACAGAATTCCAAGTCCGTTTTCAAGAAATGCATAGGCCTGCCGATATTTATATAAATTCACTGTTTGCTAATGTAGTATTTGGGAGAAGTAATGATGACAGCTTACAAGGACTTGAGATGATATATTCTCTACATAATATCCTCCTCCATCTGACTTTAGTAAATAATACTTCAATAGAAGTCACTTCAACCCCAACGTATATTTTACCATAACATTATGTAACTGTTAAACTGAACTTTTATGATATTCTGAAAAGAGAATAACTTTGCCTGCAATACATCTAGGCTATCATACTTTCAAAGGGGCTTTTTTTCTGTTTAAACTACAGCACAGTGCCTCCATCTTCTGTTTTGTCAATTCATAAGTAGAACAACTACCAGGAAAAAAAAAAACAGGCTTTAAAAAAATCCCTTTAAAGTCCTAAATTCACTTTAAAAAATAGCTCTATGAAATCACTTAAAAAGACCCTGGTCAAGGAAGCTCCAATGTGTAATACCATTCCTCAAATAGTCATACACATGGCTTGAATAATCAGGCTCCTATTAAAATATTCTGTAGTAGTGATCTGAATCCTAAATATCTTAAGCCTTTCTGTCATACATTAGACACATCCCATCCACATACATGACACAGCAAATAAATTCCTCTAATAGGCCAGTGTGGTCAATGCTGTACAAAGATTTTAAGTTTTCAACCACACACCGTTTTTTTGTCAAAAGCAGCTGCAGTGAGAGCGACCTACTGCATCAAATCCTGTATCATACCAGGCTATTTTTTCTGGCTTTTGATAACCACAGGGCTTTCAAGTACCCTAGAAATCAGATTCACAGTTATCCTTTTAGGTATCCCACACTGTGCTACATTTCCTGCCCTCTTGCTGACCGACCGTATGTGACAAAAATAAGAGCAGCAGTAGTTTATCAACTGTCCAAATTCTTTCTTAGAAGCTTCCTAAGTCCATGAGTTTCAGGAAACAGGATGAGAAATATTGAACATCTAATACCTTTCCTTGGAGAGCTCTGTGGTGAAGTAGGAGGAGAAGACAGCTGTGAAGATGCACTTGAGACTGTGTCTTCAGATTGTTTCTTGTGACGATCCAAACTTCCTTCTTCCGATAATGAAAGAATTTTCTTTAAAGCTTGTGGGGAGTTAATGCCTTTAAGTAAGAATTAATGTAGATGTAAAGTCCAATATAAATACATCTTCATGCTTCACAATGCATTTATAGAGCAGACACCATACAGAAAAAACCCCTAACTTTTCTGATACCAGTTTAAATTAAGCAAAATGTTTAAACCTATTCCTGTTTAAAATGTAGAGCTTTATTTCCACATATTAGTGCAGATGGTCTTTCATTCTGGCCACTTAAAATAAATACTTTGCCACAGAAAACACAATGAAGATTTGATGTTGTAGAATACTGCCTATACAATACTTAAATTGAGGATATGCATAGGAATGGCTACTGAAAAACTAGAACTAAAATTATGTTGAATACAGACACAAACCAATCTCACTGGTTAGTGAAGATTTATATAGTAAGAATTGAAACTGTTCTGTTTTTTTTTCTATTCAGAGTAGCCTAGAAGGTCAAAGAAAGCCGGAAAGAACATTAATAAGATTAGGCTTATGAAACAAGGTCATCCTGCAGCTGCCTTTCTCCCTTTCATTTTTGAGAACTATCTCTGCACCCGTTTATTTTGGGAAACTAAAGAGTAAAAACATCCTGAAGATGATGTATGATGTAAAGATCTAGGGCACCACGAATTGCTTTTCCCAGGTCACATTTATCCTTTTTTCTCTTCCCTTCCCCTCAAAAATCCACTCTAGGACAGTGAAATCAGAGCTTCTCTGACAGTTTTGCCAATGCTTTTGATAGAGGTTATTTTCAAGCATTCACAGAATGTATCTTTGATCTGTTGGATCACAATCCTGCTATCAATAATTTATAGCTGCTCCATCAGCATAATCTACTCAGTTTTCAGAAACTTTGCCACCATTGAGCAAAAATGCAGTCTATGGAGCTTCAAAGTCCTTTTAAGATTTAAAATTAATGGTAAAATCAACAAGATATAGATAAATAATGAATTGTTTCTTGCTCATTTTGCTGCTTCTAATGCTTTATTGCAGCCTAAGCAGTGCATGAGAAAAACTGATAAAAAGTGAAATCAGAATTAAGCTCTTGTGAAATTACCATCGTGCAATAGGAAGGGCCAGTTATGCTACATATACTTATTAGGATAATTACCACACTTCAAGTGATTTAAGAAGTTCTTTAATAATGCATACATGTTATGTATACATTCTGGGACACAGATTCGGAAATCAGAGTAGTAGAAATTGCTATAGTCTGGTGCCTTTCTGAGCAATGTGGAGGCAGCAACAACTGAATAACAACGATAAAAAAGCAGAAGGGAGCAGAAGCCAAAGGGACAATTGTCAACGTGAAACTCCAGACCTACATTTCTAACAGGACCACCAACCTGAGTGGGCCTGAATTTCACATTAAAAGTTCAACTTCTGAAGAGACACCAAAGCTTTGGAGACATCTCAGATGGATCATTCAAGAACTCCATGTCCCTGAGCCCTTTAGAAAAGTTAAGCCAAGATCCCAGGGCAAACGATCAGAACCATTTCTTCTTTCCCGCTGCTAGTAACAAGTAAATACTTGTACTGATTAAATTGACAGGATGCTTTCCTAGATTTCTTTCTTTCCTTTTTTAGAGAATAAAATTATGGATAGATACCGCATGAATTGGCATAACCTGCATATCATACTACCAGAAATAAATGCCTGAACCTTATATGATTCAAAATATCTCCCTGACATGAGTGAACAAACTTCAGAGTATTAAACCAAATGCTTCCTTGTTTCACTTACCAAATGGTGGGAGGTCTTTGACTGGCACTTTCTTGCGAGAGGGATAAAGAGATACGGCAGGGACCTGCAACGCTTGGTTTACTTTATGTTGCTGCTGCTGCTGCACTTTCTGCTGGATGCCTGCCCGGGGAGCCACTGGTGATGTTTCAGATTTTCCAGGTCGCTTGTCTCCTGTATTCTTCGGTACTTTGCAAGAAAGGGGAGAAAATACTGAATGACTACTAGCTAAAAACTTGGTGGGTGTTTTAGTCTTAGCAGTACGAAGCCCTCCAATTAATAACTAAAAGGTGCTCAAATACTTGTACAATTAAGGACTACAAACTGATTCAGAATGGATATATAATTATTATTTCTTGCTACCCTAAAGCAAGGGAAGGGCACAACATATAGCATTCTCTCAAATCAAAATGAAACTGATATATCCAGGATAAGGTCCTCCTCTGCTGCCCCCAGATACAGCCCTCCAAGTATCTCTGAAACACCTGGACATAAGGAAAACCCCTATTCTCTCAGAATAACCATATCCCTATTCACACCAGTAACCTGAGCACATAGAAAAACTTCTGATCCTCCAGATCCTTTGCACAGACAAAGCTAAAAAGCCCTTGTACACTTCAGTGTGACATCATCTTAAAGCCTTATCACCTGTATAAATACTATGTCTCTATCCTGTTAACCTACAGGATTATTTTCTTAAGATTCATAGACATTCAGTACTTGAAAATGACCACACACCTAATTTTCCACCTCACTGCCTAGTTACTGTTCCAAATTGCCTGGAACAGTAGTTTCAAGTCTGGACTAGAAACAGAGGTATATTTAACTGCTTCCTTGAAATCCATAGCAAATGACAATGCTCACATGTGTTAGTGGCTGGCTCACACTGCAGAGACAGTGTCTGGAGGCTCTCTTCATCCATTTCCAGATCCAAGTTTGAGAGGTACTGCTTTACCTTCCGTGCCATCTGAGCATCTTCGTACAGTTTTTTAGCGTTAAGAAAGGAGCTGCGACGGACCCGCTTTTTATGGCCCCCTGTTTGCGCCACATCCAGCACAGCTGCATTGGTACTGCCCTGGCTGAGAGACCTGAAGTGAAGGGGGGCAGGAGGAAGAGGAAAGAGGGGAAAGGTATGACTTAGTCCAACACAGTATCACCTGATAAACATGAAACATGCAAAATATTGCATGAATGTCAGTCTACAGTCAAAGCTTACATGCCTCATTCCAGTAAATCAAACAGCTGTAACAGACAGAAAGATGAGGGCCAGGAAATCTTTTTACTTGGTTACAGGCACTATTTTAATTACACAAATATTTTAACCTATTCTGCTCCAACTAGGCAACATCACTTCACACATCTAGAAAGCATTCATGGTAGCTCTCTCACATAAGCCAACTACTGAGAAGATTGGAGCATTAGGAAAAGCTCATGCAATAAGGGAATGCTGACAGAAGACTACAGTTGAGGTTCAAATTCAAATACATATACAGAAGGCATTTTGAAAGTCCTCTATGTTTTAAATCAGACTGTATACAAAATGTACAGCTCAGTTTTACAGAATAGAACTTCTTTGTAACTTGTGAGGTTGAAGACAGCTTTTTGTTAAATAAAATGATCAGCTTGTTCATGATGAAATAAAAAGTGTCATGCACATTTCAATGTATGTGTATCTATATGAAAGCTATGCATTGGTCTTGAATTGTTAAGGCAAAAATGATGGCTGAATTGTAATATGAAAATCAGTTAGTCTAGCAGATACTTTAAATTTTAACTTTTGTATTTGATTGTGATAATTGTTTAATAGGTATAACAAAGTTAACAGCTATTTTCAGCTGTTGCAACCTTGTCATTTTATAATTCTCTTTGACTCAAAGTCACTTCCTTTAGCGATTTAAATTGGAGGTGGGAGGAGAACATCACTTTTCTATCTACAACCACTTAAAAATAATTTAAAATTTTTGTGTTATAACCTCAAAAGCAAAAGCACTCCTAGATGAAAATGTAAATGTATAGTCAGTAAAAAGGGTTAACGAAAGAAAAAAAATGTCAAAACACCAGAAAATTAAAGATAGCAAGTAGGAAACAATGCAAATGGTAAAGGAAGAATGAATGTCTGTGTGTGTTGTGTCCAACCACTTACCCCAAACTCCTCCATTTCTTCTTCCTGCAAGTGAGAGTCAGGAAGAGTAAAGCACGGGTTTAAGAAGAGACAGAGAAAGATCACAAGCTCAGAAAGAAAAAGACCAGACCTCACAACAAGCAGTTCTGGAAGCTCACAAATATTAAAAAGAGCCTTGACTTGAACACACAGTCAGATATTACAAACTCTTCTACCTCAAATTAAGAAAAAGAGTATGCAATAAGCTGGTGTAACATGAAGCCAGAGAGCATTCACTCCATGTTTTCTAAGACTACTAGCTGACACTGCTTCAGATACATCACTATGTCTACAAAATTATAAGCTGGCATATGTCAATGTTTCAAACAGACCAATACATATGTTTTCGAGACAATTTTTCCCCCTCCCTCCCACTGATAGAATCTCATTTTTATGAAGTAACTGTCAGCTAAAGAATAATAAGAAACATTTTTAGTATGTATCAGTAAGCACAAAATGTAATGGTTTCTCCAGCTTTAGACCACCACGTTATTTTGGCAAATTGTTACCAACAAGAAGCTCATCCCACTCCAAAGCCCCTCTTGCTGACACCTAGGCTTCTCTCAGCCGGGAAAAGCTTTGCCTGATACAACACACTTACCTTGTTCTAAACATTAAAGAAGGATCCATGTTCACAGACGCCATGCGACCGACATGGCGTATCTCCTTTGCAATCATTCTCAGCTTCTCAAAATTGACCAAGCCCTCCACTTTAGAATCATTTCCTACAATCAACAATATCAGTAATTAGGTAGGAAAGTTAGCTTTTCTTAGCTGGTAAAAGATGATGTACTTCTGCTTTTACCTTCATGAAGGAATGTAAGGTCTTTTTTGATAACAGGAAACAGGGGGATAATAGGGGGCTGTAGGTTTTGGCTGTTAAGGACATTACGATATTTTGCCATATTCCTAGATGGATCAAACAAGTCCTGTAGATCTTGAAACAGTTTTTCATACTTGCTTGGAAGCTTTTCCCAAGTAGTTCGGAGCCTTGCAACTGGTGCCAAATTCAGGCCACTTGAAACAAAAAAAAGTGCAAAAAAGTTCAAGAACAAGAGAAAGAAACAAAAAATCCTGTAAAAAACCATGTTAAATCTTGTATGGGAGAAATACCATATAGCCAGAATAGTATAGCACAACAATGTCAATAAAATAGCAGAAAGTGAAAATTTTTTTTCACCAGCACAGAATTATTACACTAATAACTATTATTACAGAATAATTCAGGTCATTTTTATAAAAGCCATAAAAACTGGAGATATGTGAACGATGTAACTATAAACAGATAAAATTACACTTGGATGAGTAATTAAACTTTATACAGACTATGTACTTGCTGCTGTGGAACAGTGTCTGAATTTGATAATAATATTTTAATCTAAGAGTACCTCAGGATCACCCCTTATTTCTAGATTATCAAACTGGAGGAAAAAACATCTTTCACCCACATGATGATGTTCAGGTGGTGATAGCAAAGTGACATGCCTTCTTTCTGCAATAATCGATCTGACTTTTTTCTGTCTAGATCAAATTTTGTAACACTTTCTATATTTGAGGTTATATGGAAGCTGTACCTGGTAAAAACACTGTTTTTGCCCCCTGTAATGGCACTGCCTGTCTCGCAGTTTGGCATCTGGGAAAGTTTGGCATCTGGAATCTTTCCTTCACTCAAGTTTTTCCTAGCAGGAAGGCTGCTTTTATTTCTCATTGAGATCAGCTGAAATAGCTGAACAAAATCTCAATATTTTTAGGTCTCAGAGATGTTGACCGATTATCAGCGTGGATCCTTGACTTTAGAACTTGCCACATTTGATCGAATGACATTCAAAACCAGAAAAAGTGTTACATTCAATCTGTTGACTGAATGTGACAAGAGTTTTTGTTAGAGACGGTGATAAAACTGTCATTATAATGCAACTTATTCAAGTTTTTTCATAACAGAAAATATTTGGGGGTTTTTGTTTGTTGGTTTTTAAAAAATCTGTATAAACACACACATTAGAGTTTCCTCTCTTCCTTTTCATTCCAAAAGTAAGAATGGTTTTCTGTCTGAGATTTTCAGTACTTTTTAAAATTCTTATTGAAAGACCTTTATCTACAGCCTACAATATGGTATAATATCACAGTCTGGTATTGACTGTTAGCAGAGATCCATGCAAGAAACTGCTGATACAAAGAAAAACAAAGGCTGAATGAATTCAAGATACTGAGAACTACATATAAAATAAGCTGCCTTTAGGAAATTAACACATTCATTTATGACAATGCTTTAATTTTTCTATTTATAACTACTGTTTCTCTTGGTCTGTTTTTAAGTAAGTGCAGTAGTTTCTCTAGTGCCATGTTCACCAACGACTCTTGCCATGCTGTCTTAAGCAGTAAGTACATAATAGCAACATTCCAAATAATATTTCAGCAAACATTTCAATGGCAAGTTCAGATTACTGGAAAATGCCGTCCTTATTGGATTGCCAAGTGCTGATGTTAGGTTTACTCTGTTAATTACTTTTTTTTTTTAACTAACATAAGGAAGACTTTGCTTTTTACTTAGAAGTAAAATTATTACTGGCCATACCTAATGATGGCAAACATCGAGTTGAAGTTCTTGCATTCTCTGCAGTGTAGTGCTATCTTAATGAAATGCTTAATGATCTTCATCCTTTTCAGCTGGTTGGTTTCTCTTAGAATCTCAGAAGCCACCCAGAATGTTTCTTGATTTATCACCTCTTCAAACCTTTTTAGATTAGTGCAACCTGTTTTTGATTTGAGTTTAAACAAGTCATCTATGTATTCCGTGGGTTCAATATTACAGAACAGCTCAAAGTTTCTCATGGAGAGTTGGGTAGCCACCTCAACAGTACTGAGCTGTAGTAGGGAAATTTGACTTTCCCTTAGTAACTCTTGAGCATCTTCATCCGAACAAAGAGTTTCTGTTTCCATGTTGTTCTTCAGGTAATACCTGTAAAAACAAAATTCAAAAAGATACTAGATACAATATACTTGATTAATGCTGAAAGTTACAGCAATGATCCAGTTGGAATCTTACAATAAAACTAATTTTACCACACGTAGGTATTAATGAAAAGCTGCATAAGCAGCAAGTTGTTGCAAAGAAACAGAACATTAATAATTAAATAACACTCCTTTAACAGGATTTTGACTTAATAAACTGGCATCATCAGCTTTAGCTCAGTCTCCAGTCTTACCTGCCACTCAGCTGTATCCTGTCAGCAAGCTTGGATAGCTGATCAGGAAGCCTCCTTTGCTTGATTACACCCTCGGGTGTGACAGATACTTCGCATAGTGAATATGCATCAGGGGTCGCAGTGAGAGCAAACTCCCTGATGGCCTGGATGACCACTTCTTTTGCTGTTGTGTCCTTACTGATCATTATGTAGCGACTTTGCTGGTCTGCCTTGAAAACCCGCAGAACTTGATCTGGCAAGTCTGGAAAAAAATTACATGCAAGTTACGCACTTTAGTAAGCAATAAAAAATAAAAATTTAATGGTATAAGAATAAGCAAGTGACATTGAGTTTAACTACTAGTACTGAGTTTTTACTTCCATAAAGACTAGTTCTAATAACACCCAGGAAAAGAAGTTAGTTAGGCTATAGATGGAGCAAGCCACAAAAATACGTTAACATTTTCAAAGTTTGGACAGACAAACTAATGAGCAGTCTGATTTTCACAGGTGTTGGAAAATTCTGTTTAAGTCTGAGAAAAACCCAGGACATAAGCTACGCTATTCTATACAATGACATATAAGAAGCTTAAACAATTTGGTGATAGGAGTGTCAATCTTCCTAAGGATGTCTTAAAGAAAATAGACACATTTACTTAACTCTGACACTCAACTATAGTGCCACACACAAAGGGAAGATGTATACATATAAGTGATTAGGAAGATGCTCGTATAGTGCCCAGCATGCATGTGTACACAATAAAAGTGCAGTAGTATTAATGCACCCAAGTACTCAATTATCAAAAATACTCTATCCTTTATACATTTAGATCATAATAATAAATGTGTGAGTAACAGACTGAAAACTTTGCTCTTTAGTTCTCTGTGCCAATGTTTTAGTAACTAAGAACTACGGCAGCCAGACATAAAACAAACCATCAAAAATATTCAAGTTCTAAATATATTACTGTTTCAAGTGACTGGTGACACAAAACTTACAGTGAACACCTACAAGGTGACTGATTTTTAGGAAATATGGAAAACTACCCGCCTAATGTTGGATTTGGGATTTCCATAAGCTATATGGAGATACCAAATCCATGCATATTTTCATATTTTGATGAATGGATTGAAATCCAGACCCATTAATGAACTGACATTTGGTTGTTATCGCTGTATTATAAAAAGAAAAAAAAAAAAGATGAAATTGTACAGCTATCCACCATGGGTTTTTTAACATCAGGTATTTTTAACTGGCAAGTACTTTCAATTAATTTAACTTCTTCCCTCTGGTATAAATAAGCTTTTCTAGTTTTGTGAGAAATGACATCTAGTAATTTTTCTTTCTTTAATTAATACAGGGGTTTTAAAAATAATTTAATTTTTTTAGATCCCAGAGGTCATACAAGCAAGAAAATATTTAATAATAGAAAGCCTTCTGAATCTGCAGCCACAAAATGATCATCATTAAAAAAAATACTGAAAAAACAGCTGCTAGATGAAAACATTCACTTTGATACAACCACAATCTTTTCTGACAAGTCCTGAATGTGCATAACACATACCAAAGTTACTACAGAAAGATCTATTCAGCAGCAGAAATCTTGTGACAAAAGAACAGAAATTAAATCTCCCCACTGCTGCTGCACGTTTCCATAATAGTGACTGGGAAAGCATAAAGATAAATCTGTCTGATATGAGTTGATTTACATGCCACAAAGGCTGTTTAGGCTTAAATGTATCAGTTTACAAATTTCATGCAACTAAGCCCATAACTTTCAAGTTCACAATAGTTTTTTCGTAGCTTCAGAAGCACTAATACCAAAACACACTAGAACTGAGTAATTACATCATCAATTACACCTATAGAATATTACAGGCCATTTTTCAGCCCTTCCTAAGCACTTGAGTCAAATCTACAAATATTTTATAACTAGCAAGCAGATTTTGCCTTTTATCACCAACTCTATATTGACCAATCTTCCTTCAGTAATTAGTTGAAGAGGGATACAGAGGAGTGCCTGAAATATTTTCTACATTTTTTGACATCTTGAGGAAGGCAGATGCCAAAGACACAGCCTTTCAGAGATGTTATTGAAAAACAGACCATGCCCTAGATCTTGTTGCCTCTTGCTATTAAAGAAATACTTGCCACTCGAAGAAATGCTACAAAGTTGGGAAGCTACTGTAGACAATACAAAGGTTAGAAATTGTTTAAGACTCCCAAGAAATAAGTATTTTATGCAAGGAGAAAATAATCTGCACTGTTGGATCACTGAAGCCAATAGGAAGAAATGCAGAGATCAGCAAATAGGAAAGTCCCATTTTAGTGCTGCATTTTACCACTCAATTTCTCAGGCTGCTTACCTGTCAGAGCTGGTAGCAAAAGCTCTAACCCAGAATACAGAAATGTCTGCCAGCAGGTGAAATTATTACAGCTATAACAATGGTAGCAAGTAATTCAGCCCAATAATTTTGAAATAAAACACCGCTTGAAGAGAATCGTAATCACCCCACTTCCCTCTTTTTCATAAAGGAAACTGGAGTGGCAGGCTGAAGAATGCAATGGTGTACGATAGGAATCTAGGCCCTTAGAAAGATTTTGAGGGGACAAAAAATGTACTGGTGACTGGTAGCTCATCATTACTATGTTATTTTGACTTCCAATCATATAACAAAGACAGCACAAGAAAAGAGAAATCAAAGTGCTATTGAACATTTAAAAATAAACCTTTTAAAGTATATTTGAAACAACCTGAGTCAATCAGAACAGAAACTACAATGACTTCTTGCAGATTTCAAGCTGTTCACACTTTCTCCTCAAAGACTACCCTTCCAAAACAGTAAGTTGTTTTATTTTCTGTCCTAAGGGATATACACCAAAGCCTCAAAGGACAGCTGCTCTACGACTTTTCTCTTTCTTCTCCAGTGCATTCAATTTCTTGCAGTCTGCCTCTGTTTCCATCTTTAATTTAGACCAAGGTAGTAAAAGGAATTAAAACTGCAGGGTTTAATTTTGTCCAAGTCTTAAAATATATAGAGGAATAATTCACCTCTTCTATCTACAGTGCAACCATCTCTGAAGTCCTTAAGGTATATGTTTTTTATTTCAATCCCTCTTTCCCTTCTTTCCTATACAGGAAAAAAATTTTACCTGTGAATTACTTTAAGTATATTCAGTGTGTGGACATTTGGGCAAATTTTAAGCAAAGGAAAAACCCAACTTTTTTTTTTTAAATGATAAAAAACCACACTTTCTACAAAGATAATGGAAAAGCTGCTAAAACATTGGAGCAATGGCATTACATCATATTTATGTCCTTTCCTCAAAGTAAAATGCAAACAGTAGAATCTTATTTGTTTATTAAGCTTCTCTGAACTCCATCTGTGATGGAAGGGTTGTCAGGCCTGCAACGGTTGCCCTTCTCGATTCATGGGGTTTGTTGGAGCTGTGTAAGTCAGCAATGCCCACAGCTCTGGAAGTTAGCCAGTTGCTGTGCTTGGCAATAGGGGCACATTAATTACCTAGAACTGACTGGTCTGGGTAAGCAAGAAGCTAGAGAATGGAATCTTCCGCCATTTATAGAAAAAGTGCTGATGAAAAGTTCGACTCTTATTGATAAAGTACATCTTTAAGGTGTCAGACACTAGTCATCAGATAAAATGCAAAAAAAAAATAATCTATCTTCCAACTCTCTCAGGATCAATCTCAGACACTGGGATAAAAATCACAAAGCACCTTCTTGCAGTCTTCTCTAGCCCTAAAAAGCCCCCGCTGAAGTAAGTTAAGCTCAGTATCACAGTTTCAAGTGCAATGATTGCACCCATATGGCCAATGTGTAGGCTGATATTTAAGCCCCATCCCTTTAGGTAATGTCTGAATCCCTCAGGTTTAGGAGGGCACTGAATTTTCAGTTCTACTTTTGAGAAATACTCTAAAGATTAGACTAAAATAACCAAGTGTCTGCACAGCTACCACCACCATATCCTCCTCCAGCAGCTATATTTTAATAGCAAAGATTTGGATACTTAACTCAGTGAAGGTTTCCCACTAAGAATCTTCTTGCAGCCAGATAAAAGCCCAAATCCCAGCCTCACCAGGAGCTCCAGCTAAACCCTTCTCATAAGATAAGGCTCTCAAGTTTCTCTTATTCTCCCCCTATTTCTCCCTCACTCACCCCTGTGCTTTGATCCTCTCTAAATGTGTTCATTTTTTATCTATCTCAGAAAGGGATTTTATATTCAAAGAATTTGGCATACAGCTGTAGGGCAGGGTGACTAACACTGTCCCTTACAGATGTAGTACAAGATTATATAACTCTGTTCAGAAAAAGACTGAAAAGCATGTCCTGGACCCAGTCCAACACCCTTTCCCTTTACTATAAGCTAATGACCTACTGTGCTATTTCAAAACACTGCAGTCCTGTAAATAATGATCCATTGGAGCAAATTACAAAGTACCAAGCAAAATAGGTTTTTCCTGACCAAGAATATTCCATCAGTAAGAGGTACTCTATATACAGTACACCTGAAAAAACAGACATCTATTATATTAGGGTGAAGTATATTGGAGCAAATGTAATAAATCCTAACGCGTTTATATGTGGGTAATCTGTGTGTAACACCATATAGTTAATAAAAACTCACATGCCTTGTTCAGTCTCTCCAGGTGCAGACAAATAAATTGATCTATTAAAGGAAATTAAAAGGTCAAGAACAACAACAAAAAAGGATCCTTACCTGGAGTAGTATTAAAGTCTAAGATGCGGTGATGAGACTGCAGTAGATCAGGATTACTGGATGACAGGGTTCCGCTGACAGGTAAAGCAGGAGGAATGTGCTTTGTTTGCCTCAGTCCCACAATGCTGTCATCCTGAGACTGGCCAATTCCAATGTCACTGCATCCAGAGAGAAATGAAATCAGGGCTTACAGACATTCAGAGCTGGGGCTATACTAGGGAGATTCAGAGATGTCCCTATCATTACCTTTTCACACTTTCTATTGTTAGTACGGCAATTGCTATTTAGTAGTCAAAGTTCTCCAGAAAACAGTATTTGATGTCTAGCTTTGTCAACAGCACCGAAATGTCCACTCAGAGTGATTAGATATGCCTGCTCACACTGCCAGAAGATCCTCATGTTCACCACTAAGCTCTGAGAAGCTGCTAGGCTCATTTTTTCACAATGGCCAAGATCTTCATTCAAAAGGTGGTACCTTTGAATACCTCATCACTCCTGCACCATCCCATCACTCAAACTTTGTCTAATACTGCTGTCCCCTCAGCACTGTTTTATTACAAGACTTGAATTTCACAGATTTTTCACCCCACCAGAGATCGGATTTGCAACTATACTTTGTGACATGTTATAGCCATATATCTTTCAACAGACAGACGAGAGGATCATTGAGATCATTCATTTTCCTACCCTATATCCCCTCTCTGAGTTTCTTTTCATTCAATGTGACTGAAGTGATGCCAGTTAACTTGGAAGGGTAAGCTAAACAGCTGGACTTGTGTGTTACTGGTATACCCTCCAAAGTGCCAGACAGCTGTAAATAAAGTATTCTGGATAAAGGTGAAGGGTTTTGTCTGTTAAATTGTGTAAGGCAGGGTCCCAAAGGAGGTCAGTAGTGCTAGATGGATCAGAGTTATCATCACATTATAGTAGGCACTGACTTGTTTATTGCTTTTGAGTTCATAATTATCAAGTGAAGCAGAACAACTGCTACAGGATGCAGAGCTGGAGACAGGCATTGAACTTTTCTCTAAATACATCGATTAAAATCTTTATTAATATACTCAGAGGGTATAAAATGTTGAATAGCAGTCATTATAGAAAGTGAAAACAACTAAAAATGTAGCAAACGTAGGCAAAGCCCTTCTAAAAGCCAAGCACATCTAAATCTGTATCTACATGTGTAAATAAAGCATAAGCCAGAACTTACACTTCATTGCAAACTGCTACAACTCTGAAAAGTCAGTCTAGTAAATTAAATGATGCAACACAAATGACCACTTGTACCCTAATGTTGGGCACTTAAGCCTGTGACTAGTGTTCCAGTTTTCCTCAGAAAACCTAAACAGAAGTAATATAGGGCCAGATAATTATCTCCAATACTGTTACAGCACCAATATCCTTTTGTGCTTACCAATGAATTAGTTTACCCAGTACACTCTTGTACCACTTCTTTAAGTGCTATGAATAAAACAGTACTCTGGAAAGCTGGAACAGTACCTCTGGGCAATTAAGAAAATTTTAATTACATGGACACAGCAATTGTTTTTTAGAATGCAATGCAAGTCGAAAAAGTTTGGAGGGATACTTCTGTATGATGTGTTTGGGTTTCCTCATTGTTTTGTTTTTAAAAAACAAGCTAACTAAAAGTTATTGGATTCTCTCCCAGTCAGAAGTTAAGTTGAAATCTGAACATTTGTATTTTTGTACTTCCATATCAAGCACAAAATACTGTGACAAGCAGTGACGCTCAATTCAGCACACAACATTTTTATGCTAAGCCACAAGCAAATAAGCCTTTCAGTACAACTAAAAAAAATTGCCAGCCATCAATGTCTTCTCTTTCAAGTAGGAATGACTTCACATAAAAAAAACCTTCACTAAACAAAAAAACTCAAAGCCCTTGAACCTCACAATGCTTTCTGATGGTTCTAAACTACTATAAGTCTCCCAACACCAGTATTTTCTCTAAATTCAAATCAAATGAAGACAATGTGACTCACATTTATACTAATAGTTTCATTTTAATTATGCATTCCTTTTGCAGTTTGTCGGTTTCATGTATTCTTATACCAATCCTGTGCGTCATGACCAAAGCGGCTTCAGTAAAGTGGATCAACTGACAAATGTTACGTTTAAAAGAAAAAAGGAAGCATCTAAAATTCTGCTCAGTTTTAAGCAGTCATATAAAAAATTGGAAAGCACTTACTTTACACTCAGTTTTGTCTATTTTTAAAACTTAAATCAGAATCTGAGTGAGTTCTACCTTATGCAAAAAAGAAATGAATGCCAGAAACTCCAGACACAAAGAGCTAAAAAATCCAGGTGGCAGAAGATCAACTGTCCTACTGCTATATAAAATATTTTATTATGCTGATGAGATGAGATTGTCGTTTTAAGGAAATGGCATTTCTATTGCTTTCTGTATGCGTTTGCCATGCAGGGAGACAGCACATTAACTAAGAAATAACTTTCCTGCTGAACAACAAACAGGGTAGAGGCGACAATGGAATGGCAGAGCTGTCTGAATGCTTCCTCCTTCAAAACACATCATCCTCTGCATGGTACTGCACGGCTGCAGAGAAGAGAGTTGGAGGCTGTTTCTTTGTCTGGGATGCTGCACTGTGGACCAGGCAGAACTTTACTAGAGAGGGAGGTAGGGATGGTATTTAACCCTTATTTGGAGCAACTAAGCCTACAGACCACAAAACCACCCTGCATTAGACAAGTAAACAAAGAGCTCGAGTGGAGGCTGTAGCCAGAAGCAAACTACAAGAGATGCCTTATAGCCAGTGAAGATTTCCCAGTAGGAGCAGAGGAAATGGTGCTGTTTGCTCAGTTTGGGAAGTTACTTGACATTATTGGACTAAACTGCAAGACTGAAGGAAGGCATTATCTCCTGCTCAAACTGATTCATCTTTGATGCTGATTTAATGTCTCATGAAGCAGACAAGCTCCCTCTAAGAGTGACCTCGTTCTAGCTTAAAGATTGCTTTTGTCTGGATATATCCTGGAGGCACTGCAGACTTCTGCAGTCTTCATATTCAAAAAAAGGTGGACAGTTTAACCTCGCAAGCTAGCTGACTCATAAAGTCTTTAAATGTCTATTTTAATTAATGAGTAAATCAGTTTTTTCATCCCTCTTGATTTTTGGTATGTAAAAATACGTGAGATTAGGTAAATTCCCTGAATATATGCAATTATTAGGAAGAACAATATAGATCCTTTGATGCAGTAGGGAAAAGAAAAGCACAAATAATAGTCTACAGCTACAGATGCCTATGCAGGAACTGTGCAGACACAAACAACTGAATGTCCACAGGCTTTGCAGACCAATTGCTATATATAACACACAAAGTAAAGCTAGCAAAAAGAAAATAAGTCAAATGTATTGTTTTTCTGAATCTTACCCAAAGAGGTCCCTGCACAGAAAAAGTGTAAAAATAAAAAAAAAAAAATGAAAAAGAAGGAAAAGAAACATGAAAATTTTATGCAAATACTATGAACAATAGTGAACAGTGCAGAAAATCAGGCCTAACAGTACGCAGAGGTCATCAGAGGAACAAACATGCAAGACTAGTGAAATAAAGGAAAACATTCTAAAGACAAACAACATAAAAAAGAGGATTTACTGATTCTCCTCTACTGAAATGTATTGTCATCAACTTAAGAAACATCCAGTATTTGGATATAATAATTTGCATTAATTTAGTCTTTCTATTACTAACATTCTATATATGTTTCAGAACAGTTTTCATTTAGTAGAGAATACCTAACATTAGTTAAGCAAACATTTTTTTTTAAGTAACAGCAGGAAAAAATTCCTAGATTTTCAGCACAAGTGTCTTTTTTACAAATTTGTATGGAATAGTTTCTTCTTTAGTGGGTCACAGGAAAGAAAAGTGCAAGAGAAAACACTGATCACACATCAACTGCCCTCTAAATTCATTTTCCCCCCCATCGATATCATCTGCCTTGGTCAAGAACCAGATTCCCATAATATCATATAAAACTCACTCTTCTATTGTTTCCAACAATTCTTCTCAGAACTGTATTTCTAAAATGTGTTCATGGAATAAAAGCTACTAGATAGCGTATTTAGCTTTATTTAAAAAAATACACAATTCTTTCAAGGACAAGTTAAAAGTTTAATCTCAGTCTCCCTTATAGCAGTACACAGAAATTTTTATAGACCACTGGAATGTGGATACATTGAAATCATCGCTCATATCAACTCTCTGCAAGCAAACTTGCCTGCAGTTATTCTGAAATTAATTGCCTGGGATGCTTTCAGTTAAAAGTCCTCTTAAAAGAAAACAGTAAATGACAAAGAAGTATTTGTGTCATCACTTCATCTACAAGAAGCAAAATACATCCAAGCTGCATTGTTAAGAGTAGTATTTTTTAGTATATTTTTTCAGATATAAGCACGATTTGTATTAATAAATAAAAAAGTATCATCATAAAATATAAGTTTCTTAGGAATTATAAAAATTTAACACAAGGCAAATATTTAAGAGGAAATAAACTCACTTGTATGGTTTCTGAGGCAGAATACTGATTCGAGTCTTGTCAAGTATCTTCTTTAACTTATTTCTTCCCCCAACTGTGTTGGCTTTACTTTTCTTATTTACTTTTTCTAATCCTATTACCTGCTCCACATCAACAGCAAGGTCAGGGATGGAATAACGACTCGCCTTTTTAATATCACCAATTTTAGGCAGGTGGGGAGCACCATTTCTTTTTTCCTCTGACAACCGTGTTAAGAGTTCTTTAAAAACTGCGCAAGACAGGAAAAGGAAGGAAAAGAAAAAAAACAAAAATGTAAAAGAAAACTCAGTGCACCAGACCAGTTTAATATTAATCATTATTAAAAAGTGATTAGCATATTCTGTCAATTCCAGTATTAAATGAATTTAGATATAAGACTTTAAAAACATTTTCTATTTTAAAAAGGGCATTCATTTTCCGTAGTAAGAATCAGAAAAAACATAAATTGGCCCAGCCTAGAATAGAAATCCACTCGTGACCACATGGTTGCACAGATTCAACAGAAGGAATTTGACTTTTCAGCCTAAGGACAAAGGCTCCCGCAGAATAGTAATGTGCATAAAAAGAGTACACTAGACAAAACTGAGATTGAAAAATGCAAATGAGAGGGAAGGTTTAAATAGACAGGCAGCAACAAAAGCTGTCAGATGGACAAGAAATTACTAGCAACAGGACCAAAAAAAATCACAGGGGAAACTGCAACAAAGTCAGAAAGAAAATATAACAACGTAGATTACTGAGACACTTTGGATGTTCGACAGGGCTGTTGCATCCATCTGCCAGAGATAACATAAAACCTCTCATTCTCCCTCAGGTCCCTAGCAAAGAGTCATCTCTAAGGCTGAAATACCTGATAGATTTGTAAATTAGTTCTTCTACTGCCATTTTCAGCCTCACAACAATGCTGATATATTTAAAAAATCAAACAAAACTGATGTGGAGACCAAGTCACATATTCTCAGTATGACAGGAACTCCCCATACATAAATGAAAAAATCATCTGATGAATTAATTTGTAATAGTAAATGAAAACTGATAATTAAAATTAAGGACTTGTAGGAAAACATGGGAACAAGGGCAACCAGCTCAGAATAAGTATTAGGGGTTAGGTTTTACTGTTATTTCTTAATTTTGTCCTTAATGTTCATCTTTATCTACAGAGATACATAAAAAATCACCAAGAGACTTCAAAAGCTTCAAATAAGACACACAAATAAAATTGAAGGAAAGTAATCCCAGCCAATAACTGTACTGTTGAATAGGGATTGGAGGCTGGAGAGAAAAATTAGATACAGATAAGAAGATGGTGTTGAAAAAAGAAATCCCTCTGGGATTTGTGGAGAAGGAATTGTGCATGCAATACACAGAAAGTAACTGCTCTGAGACTCTACTGTAATCTGATTTCAGTATTTGCACAGGAGTAACAAGATAGGAAAAAAACACAATTTCTGAAGAAAAGAAGAAATCAGGTTTAATCTTTAATATACTAAAGCAACATGAGATTCAAACACGTGAAGAATGGTTACACAGAACTTACACTTGGAGTTACAAGTACATAGTGCTGAAAGAAATATCTTAAGAAATGTAAGAAATATCTTAATTATTAGAAACATTTGAAATAGTAGAATCTTTACTGCAAAGCAAAAAAATCCCCAGGAAACAGATTTGATGAATAACTTTTGGAGACAACCTAGGCATATTTAATTATCAGTTAATGCAGTGACATGCTATGATAATATTCTGCCCTGTTTGTGATGAAGAACTTGATCCTGAAAGAGACATCCAGGAAACACACCACTAAATTGTATAAGTAATCCAAGTATCCAGTGGTAAAAATCAAACCAAACCTCCAAGCTATTAATTATTTTTTATGCTAACCAAGGCCCCGAGCTGCTTAAAGATTCCTTCATGCCTACTTAAGTACTTGTTAGAGGGAAAAATGTAGAGAATAAATACAGAGGCTAGCAAAATTCTTTTCACCTAGCTGGCAAGAAAGTTTGTATTAGCCTTGTGCTTGTTACACTCATAGTGGGTTGAAAAACTACAATCAAATTCAGCACACAGAAAAAGACCACAGATCAACTGAAATGCCAAAAGAGGTTTTTTCTTGAGAAAGAATTAAATATTGTACATACAAACACATTTTATAAGTTTGAGCTACGTGGTCACGATAGTTCCTCTTAATACAGTTCCTCTTAATTCTGAGAGTGAAATCACTTTGTAACAGACTATTAATAAATTTTTGTTTGCAATTATGAACTACGGTATTTTAGGACCTGCAAGCTTCCTTTTTTTATTTTCTCTAGTACAAAAGAGATTCGAACAAAACTGTTTTAAACTGTTAAAAAAATAATTTAAGTCTCCATCAAAATTAGAACAGAAATTTGAACCAACAGTGCATGCAAACTTACCAAACAAATTGGTTTTCACAGTGATAGACAAATGAGTGTTATTTCTAAGGATTTCCATGGCTTTTGTCAGCTGAATGTTTTCAAAATTTTGACCATTCACTTCCAGTATCTAAAAATTCAAAGATGTTATTTTCATGTAGTAAAGAGAAAGGAAACAAAAAAAAGGGAGGGGGGAATGGGGAACACATTTTAAAATTAGATACCTGGTCTCCACGTTTCAAGCCTGCTTCCGTAGCTTTGCTACCAAAATCTACACTGTCAACAAAGATTCCAAATCCCTTTTCAGACCCTCCAAGTAAGATAAAAGGCAAAGGGGCTTCTCGAGATGGCTTTGTTAAGGTTATCAATCTTCGTTTAGCTTTAGCAGCACAAGCAATATTTAACAGCCTCAAATGTCCACCCATTTTCTACAAGAGAAAAGCATAAGTTATACATAACAGCCTGGTTACTCCCTGTCATCCCAAATTGCCAGAAAAAAAAAACACTCACTCTTACCTCCCTCTCCAAATTGTTCTCAAATTCTTCCAGAAATCGAGTCATAGCAGGATCTCCTTCAAAATCATTGAAGTGATTGTTCACCCACAACAGTACTACCCGTGTAACCTGAAAATTAATGAGGGATATAAATATTTTCTAGGAATACTCAGACCAACACTATTGCTAAATCCTTTAAAAATCCTGTTCCTTAAAGGCTCTGTAAATTACCACTGGAATCCTAAATATTATACATACATATATATATATATCTCCAAAGCAAACTTTACTAATATGTGATCATTTATCAGGAGGATAGAACAAATTAAGTATTAAAATTGTTTTCACTTGTATAAGCAACTGTATGCTGTATTGCATAACAAATACTAAGAGTCAGAAAATTAACACTGGCTGTATGAAATTTGACTAAGTAGGGAACAGTGCACACAGGAAAAAGCCAACGACATAGATCCATTTCTGACCTATAACAACAATTTCCTGTTCATGTACATTTCCAAATCTGCTTAATTCTTCAAGCACATGATCATAAAGCTTACGAGACAGCTTTATATTGGTTCTTGAATCTCATGTCTTTGGATGTGCCACCATTAACTTCATTTGGCACTTACCTGTGTAAAAGAGTTATTGTATGTTTAGAGAGGCAGGAAAAAGGAGCTCTTGCACGATGTAGAAAAAAAGTTTTAACAGCAAAATCCTACAATTTCTTTCCTTAGAGTCAATCTTTCTGTTTACTCCTCCTTCTTTCTCTCCACCACCACTCCCCAGAAGCAACTACAATTCTTCAAGTTTAGAAGAATCTTAGCTGGTATTTTACAGTTTGTTAGAAAAAAAAACCCTAAAGGAATACTACTAATTAATATTAATGAAGGTAACACCACAAAATAAGAGCTTCATTTTTTAAAACTATATGCTTCCACTATAATATTCTCTCTTTTAGCATGTGATTTGATTTGGAACATCAGCAGCACTGATGATGAAATAAAGAGTTTTGATGTCTTGAATTAATATTTATTCACACTTTTTAAAAAAGTTGTTTAATCCAAAATAGTTGTGCCACTCAACACTACTTCTAAAAATACAGCTGTATTTCTTCTTTTATGCTGGGAAAGTAAATTAGTAGGGATAAATCTCCAAAAATTTCAAAACCTAGAGCTTAAGAACAAAGTCTCATAAAAATTTTAATCACCTAGTGCTAATCTCTGTCCATTCTTTGTGTCTGCACAAAATCTAAACATCTGCAGCCTCATATGCTAAAGGACTGACACCAGGCATGTAAAACCAACCACTGCCACCTTCACATACAGTTTCTAAGTAATTTTCCTTTTACCTCAGAAAAGCAAATGAATTCAGAAGAATTGCTGAAATTAATGACCAAACTAATAAGGTACTTCAGAAGTCCTCAAGAGTTCTAACAGAAGGCAACAGCACAGCACTATGTGCTGCAGCTCCCAGCCACAGGGACATACTTGAGATTTTTCCACCTTTGAAATTGAAGATGAACTTCATTCCTGGTAAACAGCTCTGATATTTTTCAATACTGTGGTTGACACTGGAAGATCCAGACAATGTCTGGATAAATTTAGGCTAATTGCAGATTTTCTAAATTGGCTGGGAAGTTGCAAACCATACCACAGAACATACTATAAACTTCTACAGTAACAGCCTCACTGTCAATGCTGCTTTCCAAGTTAGGACTTACTAATCTATACCCAAAGGACACCATGCTGGGAAGATTTGAATGGTGACTTCCAAAGGAATGCCACTACTCGTGTCACAATCAGGAACATCATTAAAAGACAATTAAAGCTGTAAAATCAAGTACCCTGCTGCTCAGCAAAATCATCAGTAAGGCTGGATCTCAAGTGTCCCAGTATGATTACTCCTGAGTACTAGTCATGCCCAGGAAATTTTACTCACTCCTTTCACTCTCCTCACAGACTATCAGCCCCCAGTATGAAAGGGCCAAAATCTTGCAGATTCCTTATTCCCTACTTGCTTATCTCCACTTGTCTTAAGCTGTTCTCTGCCTCTTGCCTTTCTGTCAGTGCTACTGGATGTCAGAAAAGGTTGGACATTGAGGTAGCAGAACAAAGAGCTGCTCTGTGTTCAGACCTGATATCAGCAACTGTGTTGGCTCATGCTTTTACAGAGGCTGAGGGGATCATCCACTGGAGGACAAGCAAAGTGAGTTTAAAGACGAACTCCAATATTATAGCTCTGAAGTTGTAACAGTATTAGCTGCAAAGCCTATCCTCTGCTGGATGTATGATCCTTCCTCCGAGGCATAGCTATACTAGCATTTCTAGAAGAAATACCTAGATTTAAATAAAAGTTGAAAACCAAATTTCTCTTTAGCCTTAATAATAAAATTCTCTTGGTTTCAAATTTAAAAAAAAAAAATCTGGAAATTTTTACTACTTATTTTACATATGAAAAAGTTGCATACAAGTGAAAATAAAGCAATATAGTGTGAAGTACAATATATCCTCAATAGACAGTGTGCCAAAAGTCCATAAACCTTATTCTTCCACCATGGAAATTTTATTTAGGGAAGAGGATATTTGATTGCTTTCTTGTGTTTGGGTTGGGTTTAGTGTTTTTTTTTAATGCCACATAAAGCTCAACAGATTCTTAATGCATGCGTTTTCTAGTCTCTTCACAAAAAAAAAAAAACAAACAACAAAAAACAAGAAAGTTTGCCAAGTTGTGTACAGAAAAACAGAACTCAGTTATATACTCAAATCTGGAGACACAATAAAATTCTATTCAATCACATGAAATAAAAATACTGATTATTGGAAAAAACCTTTCTGTATACTTGCAAACAACTAAGTTATGTTGTAAAAACACAGCAAGGTAGAAACATGGCTAATTTACCTTTCCCGAACACATTAATATTTAAATAAAACGAGGATAACATGTTCTTAGGTTTAGCCATATATTCTACCATTAAAATATGTCCCTAGCTATTCGTGTCTTATTCAGTTTAATCATTCTCTCTAAAACATATTTTATTTAACGGCTTATGTTTCAATTCAAATGGTAACAGGTGCATAATTCAGGAGATTTTAACCTTATCCCTGAGGCTGGGGTCATTGAACCACTCCAACAACTTCTTGCCCACTTCCATTGGGCTGGAAAGAAAGGTCCGATACGTCAACAGGAAGTCTTCTATAAATGTTGGGTCTACCACAGAGTGCTCTTCCACCAAATGCATTGTTAACCTTTCAGCTGTTCCCTATTAAAAACCAAAACAATGAAAAGAAATCTTAGTTATTAAAATAAATTTTCAACACATGCAAATGTGTTTTCTTAATGAAGATGCATTACACTAGAAAGAATACTGCCATCCATTAACTGATAAACTAAGCAAACATAATGCCTTAAACACTGTGATAAGAAATGTAAAAAATTTATGTAATTAATTTCTACAGAAATCACCTCGTTGTCAATGTGCATATTTATAAAGAAAATCTAGAAATAGTAACAGTCTATTTTCAAACATATATTTTTAATGTTCTCAACTAATCCTGGATTTAACTTGCAAAGTTAAGAAATTTATAGAACATAGACTTTTGCAAGAGACTCTTTCTTTTGCTTTTACCTTGATGACAATGTGACCTTTTCTTGTCCCAGTGCGATCAAGCTCTCTGTGCTCCTTCACCATCACAATCTCCCCTTCCTCTTCCACCTTCTGCATGTTCTTTTCCACTTGATTGAGGATGCGGCAATAATCTTGCTGGGCTATACAAACAAACTGGAAAGAATCATCACGCACCAGTATTAAAAGGTAAAATCTTCAGAAAAGCATGTAGACTTAAGCTGCAAGTACTCTATTAATAGAAAAGATAAAGAAGTTTCTCAACCTGCAGTGAGTCAAATTTGTCTTTCCAGCAGTTCAGCTGTAGTAAGCAGATGAATACATAAGCACAGTACTTCCACTACAATCTTGCAGTTAGAGGAGACCAAGATCCATTAGAGCAACATGATTTAGCATTATCAGCCATTTTTGCTTTGACCTCCTCACTGCTGGAGATATACTTCAGTACCCTAGTCAGTATTTTTTTCTCCCATGAAAGGTTTTATGTTTAGAAGGGTTAAAAGAGTGAAGTGAAAACTTAGCTTTTATTTTTTGTTCCTATTGCTATGGTAAATTATTTTCATTTTTCATAGCTATTCTTACTATTAAGGTCTATCCTTAAGAAAACAAACGTTTATTCAATTAATGAGTGCAGGCACACAGAAACAAATTACTTCTGGATTAAAGCATACAGCAGGAAAATTATTTTCTACAATCATCTGTTCAAGAATATGTGCAAGAATAACTATCTTAAGAATATTCCTACACTGTGCAAATATAATTAAGAACAACTACAAAACTTAGAAAGACAATACTTGTACACACTATGAATTACCTTCTATAACTTGTTAAAATTTTTATGCCTTTGTCTCTTTCTGGAGGCAAGATTAAACTGTCTTCGTATATGAAGTTGGGTATCTTAACTGAGAGGAAATAAGCGTTTCTTCTGATTAAAAAGTTGTTAAATCATCATGCATGTACTTAAGACAAAAGCATGAGAATCAGAGACAGTATTTTCTCCTGCATTCTTTAAACTCATTTACACAACATTTCTTTTTTCCAGCAGCTAGTAGTAGCTGAAACAAGTCCCATGGTTTGGATTTTTTGAAAACATTATCCTAACAAGAAACCATTTACGCACATTTTGCAAGTTAGATGGGTAAACCAAACCAAGTGACTTCATTAATACATTTGCACCCATTTCAAAGGTCATCTTCTTGAAGTTAATTAGCCATCAGGACCAAGCAGAATGCTTAACTTGGCCAAGGCTCAGCTATTATTTTCTGGATGGGAATAAGCAAATAGCAACCACATACCCAGATTAGGCCAGTATGCCATGAGAAGTATTCCTTACATCTGACTGCTACTATTATAGCAAACATCAAGGCTTTTTCCTTGAAAGGCCAGATTAGCTGAAAGTAGATTTTTCACTCAAACCATAGGAGAATTTGTATTACCTAATATTCAGTAGCTGAGTCGAGTAAGGAAGAGCTATTAGCTGTAGAAGTAAAAGAGCCTGTAATGACTAACAGACCTTAAGATCCTACTATGGGAACACTGGAAGCAATGGGTGGAACGGGCTGATGGGCCTCAAGTTCTGAAGAAAGCATGTAGGCAAACCTCCTCACCCAAAATGATCCCTATCCAGAAGAAGATAACTCAATTTCCCAGACGGTGGGGAAATGCAGGAGCCATATCACCCAACTAGTGTCCAGGGTTACTCACTGGAGATTTTACATATATTCATTTTAAAATAAAACTGTGCCTCTTTACTGAGTTGCATCACACCCAAATGTTTGTGAATTTGCATGTATTACAGTCCGACACTCTACCTGGCAGTCATCCACTTTGGTTCTCATCACTCCTTTCATATATTCCTTTTCCATGGTAGGGGAAACACCAAAACTGTTCCCCATGCACAGTATCTCTGTTCTTCCATCAGGATACGTAACCTCCACAGAGCCATTCAAAATGACTGACCAGGAATCCAGCTACAAATCAAACATTGCAGGATACATGAAGACCAAATCACTTAATATTGTAATATCATACTGTATAAATACAAGATTCACAACTTTTCTAAAGCAAAAGTTATTTTTAGCACCTACTGAAAAAATTATAAGCTAGTTTGCCTTAAATGTACAGTATTTCAAGCTCAAGAAACCTGAGGTCTTAAGTTTATCTTTAATATTAAGAAGTAATGTAAGACTGTGGGGGAAAAAAGAAAGAAGGTTTTAAAACACCACTTAAACACTGAAATAAACTTCCCAGATCAGCTCAAATAGGCAGGAAGCATTTTGTACAGTATTGAGAATGTTTTATTATGTTTTTATTGCATAAGAAATGTGTGAGTGCTTAAACAAAAGCTTTCAGACTAATCCACAACAAAAAGAGGCTTGATTCACCTGATAAACGTTACCTTTTTTTTTTTTTTAAGCAACAAAGGAGGACTTTAACCCTGTGGAATCTGGAATGTTTGGTATAAAAGGAGAGTCAAAAGCAACTTCTACTGACCTCTTCTCCATCGTTTAGTACAATAGTTCCTGCTCTCTCCACAACTGCAAACACCATTACAGCACAGAGCTCTCTTCTCACTGACATTGTCATGTTGGCAAAAGCAGGCAATTGATGCATGAATTCCAGTAGTTGTTCTGAAGGAGAAAAAGCCCACTGAGTCGTGCATGTCAAAACAGCAAAGCACTGTAAAGATAGTTCTTCAGCAAGATGCCCGAGGCTACTTAAGCTAAAATGCTGCACAATCGTTTCTGTATCCTAATAAATCATGTACAGTGCCCTGTTTTAATTACTGGGTATTTTGTAGACACAGACTGGCTGGTCATATCATCAATAGAAGCCCTGCAAAGTAAAAGCATAATGGAAGAATTGTAATGTAACCAAGAGCTCTGAATACAACCAATGATATTTGTAATACTCCAGTCAGCATAATAACTCCCTTAAGACTAGGACAGGACTATATAAAACACAGCAAGACAAACTGAGCAAGTTGTTTGGTAAAGCCATCCCCTCCTAGGCTAGACCTAGGAGTAAATTGTACTTGATCATTATCTGGTGGTTTCACAAAGTTCCTCTCAGACGGACCAGGTAGGATTACTGTCTTAAAGGTGACTACTGCTGCTCTGACTTCTGCGTGCCATTGAGTTGCACTTGTATTCAACAACATACTTCTTGCATTTTCATTTTTTATATTGTTCATAACTACAGTACTCAATTTTACTTAGCAGTCCTGCTGAATGAGTATATGCCCTAAGAACGTTTTTGCATCCAGTTTGATCTAAAACATCTACTAAAAGGGTTCAATAGGACCCCATCTTTTTCCTAAATCACAGAAAGTTTGCAGTTAGAAGGGATCTCTGAAGATCATCTGGTCAAACCTGCCTGCTCAAGCAGAGCCACCTACAGCCACTTGCACAGGAACGTGTCCGAATATCTTTTGAATGTCTTCAAGGAGGAACACTAACACCTCTCCAGGCAACCTCTGCCAGTGCTCAGTCACAGCTAAAAAAAAGCATTTCCTTGTGTTCAGATAGAGCCTCCTGTGTTCCCGTTTGTGCCTCTTGTCTTCTCACTAGGCACCACTGAGAAGAGTCTGGCTGTCATATTTACACCCTCACTCCAAGTATTTGTATGCATTAATGAGATCCCTGAGTCTTCTCCAAGCTGAACAGTCCCAGCTCTCTTAGATCTTCCTCATATAAAAGACGCTCTAGTCCCTTAATCATCTGATAATCAACCTTAATCATCATTTAGTCATACTTCAATAAAAGAAAAAAATCAAATCTCCCCAGTGAAACAGATTAGATTAGAATTTAAATTCTAGTTCTGCTTTGCTTTCAATGTATTTACCTGTATGCTAACATAGCAAATTAGTTTGATTAGAGGCACATTTATGCTCAAGTCTTAACAGCTCCAATGTTTATCACAAATGTCCAATCACATCACCACAACTTACAGTTACAAAATACACCCTGATAAGCAGTGTTGATGTTAATGTTGACTTTGCCAAGGTTCTGTCTAACTATTTTCCAGTTCACAATGATGTTTACTTCATAAACCTGTGCTGATATCAATTAGAAGCTGATGTTTGAGATCAAAAGGGCAAGCAAGTAATAGGCTTCACCCATATTATGTGCATTTTCCTCTTCTTCTTTGGCTATACTTGTTCACTAGTTGAAATTATGGTATTTATGAATCTCCTTACAGATAATAACTGTAATAATATTTAATAATAATAAACACTAAACTTACGAACTACAAAAGCCAATCATAAAAATAAAGCCTCAAGCTCAAAAACTAATTCCTTTGGGGGTGAAGGAGAATATGTTTAACAGTATTTCACACATTGCAATACTTACCAATATCATCATCTGTCCTGTCTATTGGGTCTTTCTCCAAGCAGTCTCTAACAATATCCCTACTCATCAAAGGATCCGATGCCCTTTCAATGTCTTCTTCATCATCATCATCTTCAGAATCCACTGCTGTCTCTGGCAATCCACTGAGATCCATATCACCTGCTTCACTTTCTGTAGCCTAATACATGTATAAACAATTAAAAAAAAAACAAACACCAAAAAAAATTCAAATGTGTTCTGTTACAGATTTATAGTTAAATGTACAGAAATCTGCCATCCAACAGATCACTCAAATTCATCCAATATTTTTTATATTACTTTTTTCTTCACATATCTTTTTAGAACAACTAAAGATTAATCTACCAAACTCACTGTGTTTAAACAGAGCTTTTAACATTCGTTTCAGTCACACATAAAAAGAATTCAACAGACGTTATTTAATCAGGAGGACTTGGGGGGGATGGATGACATATTTCAACCAACAATTTTTTGAAATATTAGTTGAACATAATTTTTTCAATAAACAGTTCATTAGACATTTTCTATCCCCACCCCAACACGAGGTAATTTTAAACAGACAGCTTTGGGAAATAAGTACAGCATCAAAATGCTACAGAAATTTTGTTACCTCCCAGTAATGTAGGAACGTATTTTTCTTTTACAATTCCAGTTGAACATAGTTAAATATGGCTTTCACTTGCTGATAAACTGCCTAAGAATTTACAGATGCAGAAAAAAATGCAAAATCATTGCTTAAACACCACAGATGGACTACACAGATTTAACCTCCTTCATATTGTATTAAAATGAATGAAAACATAGTCCAGATATAGCCTGAGGTCGTTAGTATAGCACCTAAAGGTAAATATACTTTAATGACTCAGTTTGAAGACCAAACACTTAATAAATCCCACAAACATTTGTCTGTCACAGTTGATAAAGCTGCTTTTTCTCAGAACCTGATTTAATACCATGGCAGCTGCCGAGGCTCAGCTATCACAATTTTTAAGGAAATGCAAGCTTCTAATGAGCAAGTTTTAAACCAAGGTTTGAGAAATCCATTTTCACAGGCCTTGAAGGGATGGTTTGTTTCTGAGACACACGATGCATTCACGACTGCTTTAAAAATAATACATGGGACAAACACGGTTACTGAAGCTTGTTTGATCGATCTGTCTCTCACTCTTGTAAAAAAGACAACCCACAAAACTAGGTCACTCTCAAATACAGAGAAGGTAAGACAAATTGCATTGGTAATTTCGTAGAATCATCTTCCCTATCCCTGTCTCACTAGCTGTGGCTGACATCTGTTACTTTAATGCCACTAAAACAGCCACCTTATGAATGGTAACATATGGCTGGAGATGGATCAGGGCTGCTACTGAGAGTCTTAAATGCTTCTGTCCTACAGCACAACACCGGCTTTGTAACGGGGCCTTGTTAATGTAACAAGCATGATAACAATATCTACACAATATTCAAATTATTCTCACTTTGTGGTTTCGGGTTTGGTTTCTTTTGTTGGTGGTGGTTTGGGATTTTTTTGTGGCTTTTTTGGTTTAGCTTTTTTTTTTTTTTTGCTGTTGTTAAGAAAAATGCTCATTTTTTAAGCAGAATAAGGAAAGATACTACTGGCATACAAACAAATCAGCAAAATGATAGCACCAATAGCAGTATTTTCATTAGCAGTCTTACTCTGTTTAACATGCATGTTCCCTATGATACATTTGAAACAGTTGCTGTAACTACTCTTTCAAAATAGCCTTCATCAAAAGTGACGGGTGGAAAAGTTAGTGGTGATGAGTCAGTAGATACACAGCTTATGACACCAATCTGTCAGAATGTGAAGTTTCCAATAGTGAAAATTCCAGTGACAGTGGGACTGATTCACAGTCAATTTTGCAAACCTTCCCATTACTAATAAGTGCCCCTCCTACCTGCCGAGGTTAAGCTCTCTCAAAAGCACATTAGTAAAATGAATGCAGAACTCAATTTAGTCACACAATGCTAACATACATGAGAAATTTCCACATATTGTACAAAATTTGATAATTAAAAGACAAGTTATTTCACTGTCTTGGAGCAACAAAAAAAAAAAAAGTTGAAGCTCTTTTATCAAGAAAAGTTGATGCTATTTAAAACAAATTCTCACACCAAATTAAATGTAACTTTGTACTCAGAAATAATATTAAAAATAGTACTAAAGGCTACAAGCATTTCCCGAAGATGATCACCTTTTACTGAGCTTTTTTTTCTTTTTTTGACAACTAAAGCTATTGGTGAATGAGAAGCAACTATTTCTAACCTGCTAGCTATCAAAAAATACAAACCATTCCAACAAAGCAGCTCAGCATTGAATGCAACAATCTACAAAGTAATGAAGTTTATTAATTTAAGACACCTTTATAAATATCTTTTGAAAAAAAAACAAACCTTTTTTCAAGCACCTTTCTGAAAATGCTATGATTACCCAAAAGTTAGCAAAGGAAGATAAACTTAGCCTTTTCTCATAGGTAATATGTTTTCACAGCAGTAAAAAACCCCCAAACCAACCCAAAACAAAAACCCTCATTCCACAAGGACTCCTTGTGTTTATACATGCAAAAAGTTTTGTATCAGTTTTGTTACAAAACCATCACAGTTTTTTTTTTTTTGCTTAGTAGCATCACATATGACATTAAGTATTCAAGGTCCTCTTGCTGACACGTGAAACTTCACAACCGGCCTGCTCTGAGTATTTCTGCACTCCCTCATATGTAAGAAAAATCAAGTATGTCTGCACAGGAACCCTTAGTTAAGAAGCAATAGCCTTGCATCTATCTAAGACTAAAGGGGAAACCTCAATTAGCTCCTTATTAGCTCAGCAGCCGAAAACCAGAACACGAGATGAACATCCAACAGAATTTGTACTACAGTCAATCATGAGACTTAGAGCTTTTCAGAGCATTTAATCATGGATGAAGTACACCTCAGAATTTCCTTTCCTGGATGCATGTTGTACTTTGTTTCTTGGGTAATAAGAGAAATTAGCTTCACTTTAATAAATCTAAAGAGATAGCATGCAAGAAAAATGCTGGTTGCAGCTTGAAGTACAAAACAGTGTTTCTCCAAAGTCTGAATACCAACTGTGATAGTAAATTTCTCACGTCATCTTTCCAACTGTGAAGAAAATTTCTGAAGCTTCAAAGGAATCTCACAATAGTGACAGCCTAATATTTTATTTGTCACATCACCAACGAGAGATCAAGAGATTAAGACAGACATTTTCAAGCCTGAGTTGAAGGGCTATTTCACATTTGATACCCAAGGACAATCTGCCCAATATTAAGTAGTGTCTATAAAGGCTAATATTGCAACAATAAAAAAATGGTTGCTCTAACTGCTAAGGCTCCTGAAGTCCAAACACACCTCCAGATTTGAGTGATAATTAATTAAACAGATACTGTGAAAAAACTGGGAAAAGATGTAAAATAAAGGAGCCCTGTATAAGTTCTCGGTTAGCCTTTGGTTCCTTAACTGACTGGGGCGGAGGGGAGGAGGATTAAAAAAAAAAAAAAAAAAGAGAACTATTATTCATTTCTCCTCGGTCAAACTGGGCAGACGGGGGAAATAGGGACTCTGCTGGTCCCTTTAGACTGGCATGAGAGGAAACTGATTAATCCCAACTCTGCTGGTCTTTCATTTTCCAGAGGCATCATGAAGATGGGCATAATGAGAGAGGTGATGGACTATGAGCAGCTAAAGAAGATGACCTAATTTACTGCTCGTTTCTTTCTCCAATGAATTTTTGGGTTTCTTGAGAAAATAGATTAGAAGAGGTCAAGGGGGATCCATACCTTTACACAATTAAGGAACTCTCATCCCGGTGTAACAACTGCTTTAGCACACACACATCACCCTCAGTATGGGAAAGAAAGTGAGGAGACTTGGAGAAGTGCTTACAAGATGACTGGCTCTGTTTTAGGCGGCCTTCATAGTTTTCTTTTCACTTTGGGGAAAAAGCTTCTAGATGATAATAATATAAAGATAAAAATCTAGAAAACAAGTAAAATAACTAACTACTGATTTCTTAGTATTTTAAACAGACTACTTCAACCTTTACTTTTTTATTTTTATTTTAACTACTTTCTTTAGGAAACATTGCATCACTTTGAAGAATAAATTCCCTTTGTGACTACTGTTACCACCTAAATCAACAATCCAAAATCTCCAACTACGCAAAACACCAGAGACCTAAAAAAAATTAAAAATTTAAAAAGCAAGAATAGAAAAAACTTCTTGCACAAACCAGAAATATGTTCATTGCCTGGTGCAGTACTTCAGTCTCATGAAGCTAACAGAGAAAGCAGCCATGCTTAGCTCAAAAAATCCACTTCTTCATTACTTTTTAACCATTGTAGTTTAGGGGCTAAAAAATAAACTAAAAAATGAAATTAAGAATGTTTATTAGGAAAAACATTCATTTTTTATTTTCTAATTTTTAAGCCTGTACTGATACAAAACACCAAGAACACTGTCTCTGTCTGTCTCATGAAATCACTTGTAAAAGTCTTGTTAGCTTGAAACATTCTCTCCTGTCACAAAGACACATTGGATCCAGCTTCTACACAGAGAGAAACCATGGCTGGGGTTTTGTTTTAAATTACTTTTCAGAAGGCTGAGTAAAAGTTTAAAATATCAATAAATTAAGATGGAATTCAATCCATGTAATTATAAAATGTATTTATTAAATACTTATATGTACTACAGTCAACTATAATTATTACATATACACAAATCATACATAAATCTAAGGTAATGACTTTTTCATACTCCGTTGACATGAGTGCAAATGGCCATGAAATACCTTAAAACTCCTTTAGTCCAAGATTTTTACAGCACTCTCCATCTATGTTCTTTCAATGTTTACCAAAAAATTACAACACAGCAGCCCATATCTGTCATAGAAGTCAGCCTGAGCAGTTTTCCTCGCTAAAGATGAAAAGGTGTAACAATCCAGACAATGCACACCAGGAACAGCATCCTACCCTATCACCAACTAATTGCTGCTTTCTCAGAATGGGGCATTGTTCGCCAAGACCACAGGCATACAGAACAAGGACTCTGAAAGGTACTCCTGGGCTATGAGCTGCAGGATAGATTAAGAGGACCTAAATTTACCAGGAGCAATAAGGTACTGGAAAGGACTTAGTTGAAACTGTGGGGGCAGGAGGAGGCAGCTCACAGGACATAGTTTACCCAAGCTGCATTTCAGAGGTTGATACAGTCAGAAAGACTGACTTTATCTTAAGGTAGAATCTCTTTATTTTGCATACAGTGACTCAGGGGCAGGCTCCATGGACACTCTGGTTTGAGAGAGAAAAAAGTCTGGGCTCCCTCAGGAAGACTTTCTAGAGAGTGGACCTTTCTTCTAGGAGCTACCTTATCAGACTCATGAGAAAACAAAGCTGACATCTTGAAAATTTCTAAGCAATACACATATCCTGGGAGGGTCTCAGAAAGGATGTTCCTAGTTTCCTGTACTGCCAGTGGTATCTAAGCAGACTCCAGAGGGCACACAGAGGTGGCAGGAAGCCACTGGTCTGAGGACAGGATAAGGCAAAGAAAGGCTGGCAAAGAGCTGAGCCAACACAGCAACGCCTTTCCAAAACAGGGTGGGGGGAATAACACAAGTTCATGAGCTTAAATCTCCTCCCTCTCCAACCAGGAACATAGGAACAGGTATAGGAACCATTTAGGAGCATATAGGAACAGGTATATGCTTTCATATAGTCAAGAGGGAGCAGCCATACCTGAGAAGCAGCAGTGAATGATTCACTTTGCCAAGTCAATACAAGACAGAATCAAAGTATTGCTCTTGGCAAGTACAAGCCAGCACACAATCTACAAACATTCAGTATCCCCTTCCTCTCAAGTCACCCTATAGAGTTTGTCACTTGATGAACTTATTTCCTAAAATAAAAGTAACAATATTTAAGGACCTTATTAGTTGGCACCTGAAATGTTTTTGAGACTTGGGTGGGGTAAACATAAAGGTTTATTTTATTTTGGTAAGTGTTTCTTATCCTAAAAGAAGTTCTTTCATGTGCAACGTTTGACAAACAAATTTAGATACCGCATTAATATTTAAAAGGAAGTATTCTCAGTTCAATGTTGAAAGCATCTGAAGATTCAGCGTCATGATTTATTAAAAAAAAATCTTAAGAGGCCATGAACGTGTTTTCACTGCAAGCAGTTGCTCTTAAGGCTACAGAATTAAAACTTACTAGGATGCAAAACATGACATATCATTACCTCGGATTTCAACAGTAAAGATCTAAATAACAGTAAATTTTAAAGAACCCCACATTTATTTATCAGTTGGAAGGCAAGACGGAAATCTTTCTAAATCATTGCTTCTACTTAGCCATAATGAACAGAAGTCCACTCCACTGAACAGAAAAATGCCATTAGATACAGAACATAAGAATCAGAGAAACAATGATCATGAGCTTTGCCTAAGATCTACTAAATTTGAAGCAAAAAAAAAACCACGTTGATGACTTGGTTATGGTTTACTCTTTTTGAATAAACACTTGGGAGAGAATTAAAAGGCAAACAACTAAGAGAGAATGACTGATCCAATCTCTTAGTTCAAAAAAAAAAAATTTCTGCTTATTTAATCCTTAACCTGACCTAGAGAACTCAAATTACAGCCATTTTATTTTGTTTTGGGATTGGGGTTTTTTTGGCAATACTTAAACATACCTTAACATTTCTACATTACATTCATTATGACTGAAATCGAGGCCAGAAATTAATGATTTACCACAATTTGAGAAATCAAGTCAAACAATACGTGGTACTATTAAGTTAAATTCAAGAATTTAAGAACCTTATCACTTTCCATACCTGAATTTACCATTTTCTTAATAAACGTTTCCTCAAGTATGTGTATTAAGACAAAAACATGGGGTTACATTCTACAATGTATGGTCATATTTCTTGATGATGATATGGACATAGGTTATTTTAAAACTTACTTTGACACTGTGCAATTACATGGTTCTCAACACATCTGTGCCAAGACACCTTTAAATGAGGTATTAATTGTAATTAATTGAAGAAACTGGATAATATTTTGAAGATCACCAAGAATGGATTATGTTTGTAAATTAAGTTTAAAAGAATGTTTAAGAAGTAAATTTTCTCTGTGTAAATATTTCAGTAAATCATTAACTCCCTCCAAACATCAACCATTCTGTTGATTCCATTATTGCCAATAAAACTTACAGGAGTCATTGACCAGTATTTCTCTGAAGTTTCTATAGTTGTTTGTTATATTGTTTGGTTGGGGTTCTTTAATTGCACAGAAATTCAATGATCCTTTTCACAGTTATGAAAGTTTCGCTGAAAGTCTTTGCAAAAAATTTACTTCCAACTTATCTAAAGTATGGCTGTAACTACATGCCACCTACGACTGTGTCTCTAGAGGTACTTGTTATTTTTATGTTAGTGAAAATCTTTGCAATGAAAGGGATGAAACTCTATAAAAGACTGGAAGAAAAAAGCTGATTTTACATCATCTTCACTCTCACAGTATAAACATAAATCCTGTCTCTAAGTAATCCTGTCTTCAGAAGAAATTCTGACAAACCTACTTGACTGACATATGCTATGCCTGAAGTGCAGTTAATTTGACACTCTTCACAAAAATAAACCATTGCACTATTGCAATTAACAGTCTAAATTGAACTGGGACCTTTTTATAGCTTATCTTCTTCCACAAAAAAACCCTATAAGCTTATTCACCTGAAGCAGACTACATCCTACAACTATGATCACAACTGAATTTGTATGTATTTGTATAGATGCATTTCCCATCATTTAAATGACTATACTTGCAATTATAGAAGCATCCCAAACAATCATTATTCCTCTTCTAGTAAACAGTACTTCATGTAGAAGTGGTCTCATTAATTTATTATTATTTTGATATAAATATATTTTAATTGGATTTGATGCCTTTTTTTCAGAATAACAAATTGGTATACTCTCCTTATCAAGACAGATCCTGCTATAAAATTTCAAGAACAGTAAACATCAAGTGAAAAATGCAGACTTCCTCATTTTATTTCACTTTAGATTTTGTTTTCCAATTTAAATTTAAACTCTGGATCAGTTTCACAGAAAATCTCTTCAAAATCAAGCTGTTCCAAAAAAATAGCACAGAGCTTCACAGTGTGAAGCCCTCTCAGAAGTGTAACTTTAAATAAAGTGTCACCAGTTCAACCTACCCATCTTTCTGAGGATGGCCAGGAGGGAATGCACTGCTAAGATGTTGCCATCAGGTTTCTACAAGGTGGAGAAACTGAAATATGCCCCTAAAGTCAGGCCAGCACAGGCTGCTCACTGTGTGTTTATTTTTCCCCATCACTGAATAGTTCTACACTATGAAGCCAACACATCTAAGAAATACAAAATACAGGATCAAGAAGAAAATCACTCACTTTACAAGGTCCTACATCTACAGTTTTGATCTGTAGACATCACAGCTGCTGTTAAACATTTAGCCAATCAGACAGACAGAAAGAGGAGATGAAGTGCTGGAGTCAGGAACAGAATTCCTTTGCCTTTTAGGTCCCTTTTTAGGTCCCTTTATGGACATCTGCTGGAGAAGCCATACTGGCTCTCCATGCTGAAGTTCAGGAAGATTTCCTCCCCTCAAATTAGTAACAAAATTCATGAAGCACAATCCTGATATGCAAAACACTAAATCTCTATGTGGCTGACTCAGATCCTAACAATCTAAAGTGACATGTCATGTTGCTGTGCTGCAGATTACTCGAGGAGTTTTCAAACATCAGACTAATACATGGTGGATAACCCCCTGAAATTATTACAATTCAAACAAAAGTTAGTTTTTTGAAGTCTACCAAGTACTTCTTCAGACAAAAACTGACGATAGGAAACAGCATGGGCATTTAGCTATTAACAGCAAAACTGTTGGTAATTGCACCTCTGATCAGCATCCATTTCAGTCTTACCTGGTAGATATCAGAAAGGCTGCTGCTTCCTGAATCACTAGTGATGCTACATCCTGAGTGACTAGATGAAACGTGGGTCACCTGTGGGTGGAGACTGTCAGTAAGGTGCAGCTTTGTGAAATCTGCAGGAAGCTACAGGTGGAGTAAAAAAAGCATCATTACAATTTGAAGGAGATACACAGCAAAATTAATTCAAATCATATATATCACTTTACTCTCTGCCAGTACCAAGTGTATTAAGAAAAACACTGGGGCTTGAGAATGTAGCATAAAAATTTTGAGGTTTGCAGCTTTTTAAACTCATGCAGAGGTCAGCAAATTGTTGCAAATATAAGAGATTTAAGAAAAATGTATCTGAGGACAAACACTAGTGAAGCAATATGCCAAAACTCTTCAGTATCTTGCTATAGGGTTTGAGTAGAATTAAAATGAATATGAATATTGTGCAACTTAAAATATCAATAGTTTCCTGTAGAATTAAAATTAACAGTTAAGTCACATACTATAAAAAACCAAAAAGCACTGCTCTGGATTTGGTATATTTTGTTTCTTATGTTGACAAAGTACATTAGAGACAAGTAAAATCCAAGTCACTGAGCTATCCATTATACTTTGAGCCAAATAATATGACAGCAAATAGGAAATGCGGGAAGACTGATACAATTATAAAGAGCTACAATCCTGAAGTGAGTTTGTTCACATGCAGTGCTGAAGAATGAATCAAGACTGTGTATTTGATCACTGAACAATCATCCATCAAGATTTGTGATGTGTATTTTCACTATTGCTTTATGCACACAGCTCCCATGAAGATCTTTAAGAACTGCAAACACTGCCAGATTGTAGAAATGACAAAGGAAAATATCTGCTGTCTGAAGAAATATTTAAATGCTATTTCAGGGGCAAATCACTCCTCTCCCCAAGAAGCCTGCATCCCAGAGCTAGTTAATAAAAATATGTTAATGTATCGGTTTTGCTGTGCAATAAATTCTTCAATAATTAAAAAAACAGCTTTGCTCATTAATTTGTTTCAACTCAGACAAGGCAGATACTTTCATCTTAAGGAGTTGTGTTTGTATGACAAATGTCATATGCAGTATGTCCATCCATGTCAATTATGAATGCTACCTTGGTGCTATTACCGTTCTTCCTGGATGGAAATGGAAATAAGAGTTCATTCAGTGTTAAGGCAGAATAAGACGATCAGGATAAAAGGTTATAAAAAAAGTCATCTCCAAGTCACAAGAGAGCGTGCTTGAGAAAATTATTAGCTCTGTACAGCCAAAGGTACTGAATGATTTGCCTTAAGTTTGTTCATGGAGCATGACAGCCAAAGATACTGCTATTTGCCTTAAGTTTGTTCATGGAGCATGACCTGAAAGAACCCTGGCTTTAAGATGAAAAGCACAGACAACTGAAAACCTTAGTCTTATTTAGACTGACTGGTATTTCCTACTCTAATATATCTGAAAAGGATTTCTTCCTTATCACGGCATGACTGTATCAATGATAATAAAAATGGCTACATTTTAAACATTCTTTCTTAGTATTTTACCTGAAAGAGGGGTTAAAACCAGAAACCAGACACTAATAATACTAAAATGCTTCAGTAAGCCCAGAGCTAGAGTTGATCTTCATCAACAAAGAGAGGGCAATTAACAAAAGCAATACCCTAATACATACAGCCGTGGATGCTGCCTCCAGAAAAATCTAGTTATGCTCACCACTTTTGATGATGTACCAGAAGGAGAAAACAGGGCACTAAGGAAGTGCATTATAGTATCTGTTGTCTTTGCTACTTCACTTCTCAATCTGTAAGTTTGCATTATCACAAAACTGAACCATATATATTGATACTCAGGCCACTATGCAACTTTTTTTTCTCATTATTTGAGCCATTCTACAAATAACTATACATTCCATAGGTAGAATGCATAGGAAATGAACTGTCATAGCTTCTGCCATGTGTCGATGTCTACTTCAAAAGTACAATCTCTCATAATTAAAGCAGTCTAGGTTTATTTCCAAGTAGAAATCCTACACATTATTTTAAGATACATGCACCAATTATCTCAAATTCACACATTTAATAACTTAAAAAGATATAATATTTTGAGAGTTTTACTTTTTATAGCAAACTAGTTCAGTCCCAAATAAATATTAACTCCATAGAGAGCTGTATATGAATAGTCTTACATCCAGCCAAACTCATTCAATTTTTCATTGTGCCCTGCAAATATCTCCATGTCATTAACAATGACATTTATTTTTTATCAATGCACTAAAAATTTTAAAAGAACCTCGCATCAAAGCAAATCCACTTAGTATGTTAAAAAATAAAATCAAGCTATGTTTAATATAATGACTGCACTTAGTGTTTTAAATGAACAGCAAGAATTTATGTTTTGTTACTGCACAGGCAAAAGGAAGAAGCAGGGATTGCACAATAACTGATGGAATATGTTGCAAATAAAAGCAAGCCTTCAGAATTTTTTTGGCTGTAGACAATCAGCCGAAAGCTTGGTGATTACTGGTTTCAGAGTAACTCCTCAAGTCAAAGCCATGCTGCACGAGCTGGACTTGCCAAGTGGTGACAGAAGATCAGAAGCAGGCATTTTACTTTAGGCAACCTAACTCGTCACTTTGATCCTAATCAAATAGGACTACTTACAAGCAGAAAGCACATGCTCACATCTTTGCAGAATACTACATCTCTGTGCTACGTGCCCGAAAGCGGCATCCACTTTGACTGCCCTACCCCCAAAGTTAAGGCAAAAGGCTGAATGAGGAAAAAAGTAAATACAAAAATTAAATAAGCTGATACATTTAAACTGTAAACTCAATGAGAAATGGCGTGAGAAATACATGCATTTCTATCTTATTGACATACTGCTATTTAAAATATTTAATACTTGCATTGAACACAATGGGGGGAAAAAGTAAAGCACTGATGACAATGAAAACCCACATGTGCTTAAGTCTTCTACTAAAGTGTGGGGGGTTGACCCTGGTTGGACACTGGGTTCCCACCAAAGTTGCTCTGTCACTCCCCTCCTCAGCTGGACAGGGGAGAGAAAATACAACAAAAGGCTCATGGGTCTAGATAAGGAAGGAAGAGATCACCCACCAGTTACTGTCACGGGCAAAACAAACTCAATCTGGGGACAAATTAATTGAATTTATTAGTAATCAAATCACAGCAGGATAATGAGAAATAAAACCAAATCTTAACACCTTCCCCTCACCCTACCCTTCTTCCTGGGCTCAACTTCACTCACAAATTCTCTACATCCTCCCCCCACAGTGGTGCAAAGGAACAGAGAATGGGGTTACAGTCCCTGGTAACATCAGGTTACCATCAAAAGTTGTCTCTGCTGCTCCTTCCTCCTTATGGGGAGGACTCCTCACTCTCTTCCCCTTCCAAAGGAGGCAGTCCTCCATGAACTTCTCCAAGGTGAGCCCTTCCCACAGGCTGCAGTTCTTTATGGACTGCTTCATCGTGGGTCCCTTCCATGGAGTGCAGTCCTTCAGGAATAAACTGCCCCAGCATGGGTCCCCTGTGGGGTCACAAGTCCTGCCAGGAGCCTGCTTCAATACATGTTTCCCACAGGGTCACAGCCTCCTTCAGCCATCCACCAGCTTTGGCATGGGGCTCCTTCATGGGGTGCAGGTGAATGTCTGCAGGACCTCTGTGGGCTGCAGGGGCACAGCTGCCTCACCCTGGTCTGCACCATGGGCTGTAGGGAAATCTCTGTTGAGGTACCTGGCACACCTCCTCTTTCTCCTTCTGCACTGGCCTTGGTGTCTGCAGGGGGTTTCTATCACACATTCTCACTCCTGCCTTCTCTGGTTGCAATTGCAGTTTTTCTTTTCCTACTCTTTGGAACTATGTTATCCCAGAGGAACTACCACTGTTGCTGATGAGCTCAGCCGTGGCCAGTGACAAGTCCAACTTGGAGCCGGTTGGCATTGACTCCTTCAGAAATAGGGGAAGCTTCTGGCAGCTTCTCACAGAAGTCACCCCTGTAGCCCCCTGAAATCCAAAACCCAACCACATTAACCCAATACCAGCTGCACTTGTCACTCCTGTCCTTGTATTCAGCTATCACTCTATTCTACCATTTAGTATTTAGTATAACAAGAAAGCTAAAGGTTTTCTTGCAATGTTTTGAAGCACATACTGGCTAGATCTAGCACAGGCTTTATCAACCAGACCATGAGCAATATGAGGAAGCATGACACACCCTTCGCCTCAGAAACATCACCTATTACAGACTGACAACACCACAAATGTCATCAAAACTGAATACTTTTTTATCTTGTCTTCCATTTTCATTAAATGATGGCTAGATTTAAGGAGTCATTCAAAGTAACAAGGATCAAAAGCAACTTGTCTATTTTACATAACAAGCGCTTATTTTTCTGTGACCACACTAAACTACAGCTTTGCTGAAGCCAACACATACAATATTTAACTTCATTACTGAACACTCGGAGTCACAGCATCAGAAGGAACTAGTAGATAGAGTAAAAACACAACAGGGTAGTTTAGAAAAATTAGGGCATGATTATTTTTCAGTAAATATAGTTTCAAAATACATTAAATGTACCCTACATTAAATAATTAATAGTCATTAAAAGGGTCAGAAAACTGTCCTGATGACCTACTCTCAGGACAACCTTCATAAGTGACAAACATTAAGGTGATATACGTAGATCTAATCAAGCGTAACAGGGGACAAAAGTTGTTAATACAAAACAAGAACCGATAAAATAGTTTCCACCAAAGCACTAATCTTAATTGAGAGTAGTCAAAACAGTATTTTATAAACATAAAAGCAAGCATAAGCGTGTACATACGCACATCCATACAGTTCACACACATGGACAGAAACCAGAGGAAAAACAGTACCTCTGGGAACTCCATGTTTTTACTTCTTGAAAACCCTAAAACAAATGAAAACTTGAACAATTATGTGAAACTATCTTAAGGACAAAGACATATATCACTTTTGAACTCTACAATACCATAAACCCTATCACATCTTCCTATCTTAAAAGTAGCATTTTATTACTTCCACCCTCAAAGTGAGTCATCACTTTATGCATGCAAAACTAACAATTACTTTGCT